ACCGACACAAACGTTCACTGGTATACAGTAGTAACTGCTCGCAATAGGGAAATTGCCAATTCGACGAGACAACAAAATACAAGTCGGAACTCGAAAACCAGAGTGCGTACTCAAGTATTTCATTAGCACTTGAGTAGCCTCTCCGTTTCTCGACAAATATTTTATGCATATCAAAACCGAGTATGCTCTCCCTAACAGGAGTAGTTACTCGCTACAATATGGAGTAGCTACTTCTGAGAACCCACTCTCCTTTATGCATATCACCCTATGTTTCCTGTACTAACCCGTTCGGACGCAGTCACCGGAGATCGGATGGAATCTGTGTCAATTTTTTACATCGCTTTTCATTACTCATCGCAAGCAATGGAATTAACTTTCATTTTAATTTAGATTACATTTTAATCCGAGATGGTTTCAGTTTTTTGCTATTCCGAAATGAGTACCATTAGGTGACGCGGTAAAAAATCATTGCAAATAGATAAATATGGAGTGAACAGTTAGTTCTTCGGTCCAGTTATATGTTTAGGTGGTCTGAAAGCATCGCATCCGTAATATTTGATTTACATCCTTGATTAGCGGATCGTCTTCTTTTTCTCAAATAAATCCAGATTGGAAATGGCAGTTACATTCTATTAAGTTTTAACTATAGTTATTATATGCCAATTAATTATACCGTGCATGAAATTCGTTTTATAATATATATGTTGTAAATGCGTTCCATTCCTTTTTGAGAGATTATCAATGGTTTTATCAGTTATCTGTTGCGAAACTTGCCCATCTTATAGAGGTGGACTACCCAACTAACAATTATCACTCCTATTAGAGTTGCAAGAATGATTATACAGTATTCCTTAAACAGCATTGTATACTGTAAGAACATTGGCAAAACCCTGTTAGAACAGCTATACAAGCGGAATGGGCACACCTAATAGGACACTTCAGTCATTTAAGAGGTTGTATAAGGGCTGCAGGTAAAACAAAGGTGTAAGCCTCTTGCAGCCGCTATAGGACATTTGCGTCAGTGTAAGATTCAGTTTTTGTCAACTATACAACTATTCTGTTACGTGATTCTACTTTATTGCAACCAAACTATTTCTTATGTATTGTATAGACGAAGTGAAGAATATATAACTAACACATTACAGTCATCTTGTTTACTTACATATCGGCCATTGTGAATTTCATACACAGGTATATGATAACTTCTACACTGTGACATAGGGCTACTGAATTACTTGCGCAGCAAATTTTATTGTGATTATCGTGCAAATTAGTTACCCAATTTCTACAGGCTTCGTATTTGATTCATATTTTGACAATGATCAAAAGTATGTCTAGATTTTGAAGATGGAAAACTGAACTTATCTGCGTTCAATCTTCCACAAATCCTATATTTAGACACAATTACACTAATGTTTATCTCTTTATATCTGTAATTTCGAACTGAAACATAATTATTTAATATTAAATAGAGGAATAAATGTTTGCCCAATATGGCGGGTGGTTGTGTACAATCATGGCATCGTCCATGTTGTCTTTAGGTTATTAGAATATTTTGGTGTTGCCTGCAGGTGTTATACAATTTGACAAATGTCTGAAATGAAATACCGACAGAGTCGAATGATTTACCCAGAATTTGTACCAGATCTATATCTTCTGTTTGAACAGTTGATAAAACCTTTTGAACCAATATGCATGCGTTATTTGTCTTAAAACAATGGTTATGGCATTTTACAAAAATATGACAGCAGAAAGTTAGGTTATGGTGAAGTTGTTTACCGACATATTTAGCATATGTACAGCCTTTAATAGTTATAAAAAACAGTTGTATAAGTGCTTCCGTTGGGAGCAATTTTTTGGCTAAAGTAGTAAATTGCACAGCAAAACAACAAGGCTCGGGTTTGTTTTATAAACGTTACCATGGATGCCACAACACAACCATTTTGACTAACGCGCAAATATGCCGTATAAAATAGTTGTACGTATAAACGTTTATGCAACAGTTAAAAATTTTGCCCTATAAGATGTTGTATAACTATGCTATAAGAATATTTTAAACACCTCATTTTAGAGCAAATATGTTGCAGAAAGCAAATTTGCATTCCGCACAACATTAAGCCAGCATTTTGGTGGTCAGGCAACAACAATAGAGAACTTTTATGGCTGAACGGTTCTTTTGCCAAAAGGTTATACCACTACTTTGCTAGTTGGGTACTGTGGAGCTAATATCAAGCTTATAGGCTGGCTAGGATGAATTTATAACGAAGCACCTAGTTTAAGGCGTCTGGCAGAAACTGTGGCCGACACGAAGTCTCGCTCTTGTGGTGTTGGATACTACGTTTTTTAATTTCTTATAAAGTATCGGCGCCAGCAAGGGGGCGTCAAGGGATGCCGCGACCTCTGAGAATCCGGTTCGGACTTAAAATTTGCATGTTTAGCATTAGGATTTCACCCCTCTGAGAAAATTTGCCATCCCGCTCTTCGAACTTTTTGGGGTTGGTAATGTTATCTCTCGCCGATGATCTGTCTCCCTGAGAAAAATTTCTGCGCGCGCCCGATGTTCAAAAACCATATATACGAATTCGTGCACAATACATTAATATTTTCATTTTAGGTAATACATTGAAAGAATGACTAAGTGAAACTTCTCTCTCTCTCTCTCTCTCTCGTTGAATGTGGATTCTCTATATACGTTAAAGATAAAATGTGTTTTATATCAAATATTCATAACTTAAACATAAGTGGTCATTTATCTCTAGACATGCGTTCTCACTACAGAAGTTTTGTTCACAATAGTTCTACGCATCAATCAATCACTAATTTCAACTCACATCCTTTAGGTCTTGAACAATGATCAACATGAACATTTAAGACAGAGCTTACAATATTTGTACAATCGACACATGTAAAACATTAAGGTATCATAACTGGCTAACAAGCACGATAAGTAAGTTTGAAGCATAAGAATAGGTTTGTTTATTTCATTAGTCTATTATTTTGAAATCTTCCAGCGTACTGTCTATAAGTAAGGCTAGGTGAAAGGGCATTATTATTATTACAATCATCTGTCCAAAATTAGAGATATACGTACATACAAGATTGGATCTGGCTAATGGGACGCAATGTCCTAGTGCCAAAAAAAATCATCTGGATACATAATTCTTGACCTAAATGGGGTTCTCTGTAAATTGGTAATACAACAAATTATCTGATCGACTATGACCTGATTCCCTACCTCCTTATCTATATTCAGGGTAAAATATTTAATTCCTCCCGAATAGCCCACTTACCTTGGACTAACAATGCGTAATGACAAGACTGTTTCGCTATCGTGCTTGGAACACAGATCGATGATAGGACATACATAAACAAGACAGTTCACGAAACCGAATCGTACCTGATTGCGTATGCAACATCGAGATCTGTCACTCAGTCGGCACGATAAGTATTCCTCTTACATAAAAATATCCGCTGATTATGATCATTACAAGGTGGCGTTGCATAAATAAAATCAACCGTACGTACCAGCCACGCACTTGAGGAATTTTGAAACGAAACCCTCAACTCGAAAACGATAATTATTTTCTCCGTCAGATTGCGAAATTCCCTCGAGTGCTTACAAAAACAGCGCTCGAAGGTATGCTAATAATGACTACTGAAAAAATGATCAGTTGAACTACTATAGACCAGGACTTTTATCGATTCGAAGTCTAATGTAAGAACTTTTAAGACCGTGATCGAAAGTTAAAGACATTTTATGCTGTGCACTCCATGGTCTGGCCGAATCAAAACCACATATATGTTTCTGTTTATTGTACGACAATCTGTACTTGAAAAAACACAGCGGTAGACAAAACGTCGTACAATGAACAGAAATCTAACATAAGTGTCGTTCCGATTCGGCCAGAAAATGGAATCCTGTTAAAGACATTTAATGAATGAGGAACTGTGGAAAGGGCAGTGGCGGCTCGTGGCAAAATAAAACAGGTGTTCTGCAAATCCGAACTTACCTATTTTTTATATGTCAGTTCGATCCTGTGCTCCTCCTTGGCAGCAAATTTGTCGATCACCTTCCCGTTGAAATTTTCCATGGTTGAAATAAATTCCTTTTCAATGGACGGCATCGACAACGCTGTAAGGCGATCCTGGATCATAGTATTTCGAAGAAAGGTCTTGATTCTTTTCAATGTTGAGAAATTTCGCTCAGAATCTGATGTTGACATAGGAGTTGTAACAATAATTTCTAATAGCTTTTTTGTTTCTTTTGGCGTTTCCTCAAAACTATTTTGTATCAAAAATTTCAAAATAGACAGAGTTCCATGTAAGTCTCGGCAATAATTCCGTGCATAAATAGCAGACAACTCTGCCTTTAAACGACTTTTTTCTAATTCGGGATAAGCCAAGCAGATAGTTTCCAACTTGTCATCAGGAAACTTACCACAGTATTCTCCAAAGTGTTCGGGGGAAAAAAGGGATGCGGCTACCAAATGATCTTTGAATTGAAATCTGTCATTTGCAGAATTCACTATATTGTCGCATATTTCCAGTGCGGCAACTCGGTGATCGTGACTACTATTATTACACCGTCTCCTTTTGTTACCTTGGGGTTCAGTGCAAATACTTTTGGCTTCATTTATTATGTCATCAACTTTATTTCTCACATCGACAATACATTTTTCAAAATTATCGATAGCCGTTTTAACTTGCGCTGGCTCGGTTTTTCTCTTCTGCAACTGGTTGAACAAGATGTCGACGTGAGGCATGACATGATGAAAAAATGTCAACCAAAACACGAAAACAGAATCGTTTAACATACGGCGAATACCGCAAGCTCATTATTGAAATTTTCTTCTATTTCTTCCATGCATTCAATGAGTGATTTTCTGTTCTCAAACAGTACATTTATTATTCGAATATTAAAATTCCAACGAGTTGGTTGCTCCTTGGGGAATTTTTTCCCCACAATTCTGTTGAGTACCTCTACGCGTTGAGGAGAATTATTAAAAAATACCTTTCAAATCCCCAAAGAACACCCGAACTTGACCAATTGCGGAAGCAGCTTGGGACGTAATCAAGTTTAACTGATGCGCATAGCAATGCACACAGTGAGCAAATGGATATCTTTGTTTAATTTTTGCCTGTACTCCAGCATTATGTCCGCTCATTACCGCGGCTCCATCATAGCTTTGTGAAATCAGTTTGTAAAGGAAATTTCCTATTAATGGATCTACGACGCTCAAAATATGTCTTGTGAAAGTATCAGCGTCACATTTTTCGGGGTTCATATAATTCCAAAAACGTTCTACTGGTTCGCTGTTAAATACGTATCTGAAAATTGTTACCAGTTGGGTTTTCCCCGAAATGTCCATTGTTTCATCTTTCCGAAAGGGTCATCAGCCGAAACTTCAGTATTGTCTTGTGATTTTAACTGTTAACCAAAGATGAATTGGGTCTAACGATAGCTTGAAGTAGCACTTGTCAAGAGAATTTGAAAATAATTGTATACAATGCATAGAATAATATTATTTTTGGAGGGCAGGAATGATATACAGAAGATATAATTAATATTGTTAGCTCTTCTTGACAGATAAATGACCATCGTCTGTAAGCGGAGTTTTCGGCCCTAAAAATAAACTAAATTTCAAGTTGATCGCATCTATAAAACACTCGCACCTAAATATTTTATAAAATATGTATTTTAAACCTTCAACAGTGGTTTCCGTTTTAGTTTAGTATTCGCACTCAAGAGGACAATTCGCTGCACAAGGGCATGTAAAAGTCGTAGTAATTCAGTTGTTTCTGATTATGACCTTCACAAGGTCATTTCAAGGTCATGTATTAAAGGCGAAAGATGAAATAAAAGCACACTAGTGTGAACACAGGTTTAAGGCATTATAATTTATTGACTATTGAGTTTTTGTTTTGGTCTGCTTCTCGTATGTGTATCGATTTTGGACAGTTTTTCGAAAAACAACGAACTCCAATCTCGTGGAAAGCAATTAAGAAAAAACACGTGTGTCTAGGGTTTGGGCGGGAGATTTATATTTGTTATAATTCCCAGTACATTTTCGTTATTTTTATAAACTTGTCCATAAGATATCATTAGTTGATATTTATTGAGTTTCTGTGAATAAATTCCTTGTATAGATACCGTCTAATGCTTAACTCTTGAGTTGTAGCTAATAGCTGAAGCGTTAATGCAGATATTTTAGAAATGCCTCCTATATTCGGACATGCTGCATTTGAATTGTTTTCTCGAGGAATTTAAGGATCGATTGTAGGTATATGCACATTCACAATTTTTGCAAATTGGCACACTCTATCCGCCTATTTCTCATAGAATTGTTTTGGTCTTATGAAAACTAACTTTTTTCATTAAGGCGGGAAATACATCATACTGAATTTTTAGACAAATCGATTAGGACCCAATTTCCATAATATTTTTTGTACAGGATCCTTTGAGTAACTTTCAAGCCGAAAACCCGTCTTATAGCACTTGCTCTCTTTAGAAACCCTTAAATACTCAGATTTCATTTAATTTCTTTTCATCCATATCGTGTAGGGTCAATAAAATTGACTGGAAAATCTCTCCAATTAGTGTTGCTAATCGTACCTCGCTATTTTCTCAAGCTGTATTATAGACATGTCCTGGTCTATAACATTTTCTGAAAGAAATCAGCTCGCTAATCGGCTGGACAGGAGCGCTAATTCACGCAACTTTGGGCGATAAATGAAGGCAAGTATGTTTACACTCGATTTGCATGAAGTGAATCAAGTTTAATGGGGCAATGTTGCGTATGCGCCAGTCGACAGGTTGGAGTTATTTTTATTTTCGTTTGGTGGAGCTGGACATGCAAAATAAATTGCTTCATAAAGGATATTAGCAACAGCATGAGAAAGCTGGACCGACAGGTACTTCACTCACTTCAGTGGAAAGAAGGTATGGGTAAAATATACGTATCAAAGATAACGTGTTTGCATACAGTGAGGAGCTATAAGAAAAATGTGAGCTAAAAACAGTCAACTGCTCCATATCTTGAAGACTGTTGATTCTGACATGACGGGAAGGCAAAACTAAGCTTATGGACAATTAAGTTACCTTTTGTCAGGTATTTTACCGTCATTCAAGCTCCTTTAAAGAGCGGGCACAAGTTGTAAGTTTCTTCAGGATACAATCTTTTGATCCACTTTCTCTATCAGATAATCCCAAATCTACTATACGGTAAAATGTCATGATTTTAAATAGTTGTTGTTATATCGACCTATGGATTATTTCTCTTACCTGTTTTTAATAATATAATGGAACTATGCGTATTTGCTGGTGAGATTATACCTATTTCCTTATTGACACTAGTAGGTGTCTGCATTTCGTTGGGTCCATATCCGTTAAGGTTACTCTGTTAAATGTCACAGATTTTCAATCTTATCGCAATAAGAGCATGCTGTGGGAGACATTTTTCAACACTATTGTAGTAAATGGCATCAGACAATCTGTCGCCAGTCGCCTTGCAATTCGGAAGTGGGCGGTTTGTCTAACCAAAGTATAGATAATACAGAAGTAAAATCACTCTTGTGAAAACTTTTCCTAGTTTCGAGTTATATGACACTTGAATCTTAAATAAAAAAACTCAAAAGAAATTTCGCGTAAGATCATCAAACATAACTTACTCTTCCGAATAAGCTGTGCAATGTCTCACCTTTGTAAAGTGCACTTAGTCGCAATATGGGATGAAATACTTCCGAATAGGCAGTTTAATAAAATTCAAATCTTTTACACGCGGGCTGAATTGCGATGCTTAATGTTGACGGCCAGTGTTACGGTGGTTTCTTTTGAAAAAGAAATGTTATTTTGGTCCTACGGTCCAAAAGTGACTTATCATGTTTTTTCATGAGCACTGGTGGGCATCTTAATTAAAGCTATCAAAAACCAACGGACGTGTGCTGATATTTATACGAGGAATGTCTTTTAAGTTTTGCATATGGAAATAAAACAACACGGTAGGTAGTTTTAAATAACTTTATTGTTTTTCGAAGTATTCTTCACGAAGATTAATACACGTCTTCTGCATGCGCTAAAACCAATTTTCGAAGCACTTATTCCACTCGTTTGCTGGCAGATCCAAAACGGCATTTTTGAATGCGTCAACTGCTTCTTCTGGTGACTGGAACCTTTGGCGACGCAGTCTGTTTTTAATTCTCGGGAAAGTAAAGAAATCGATAGGACTTAGATCGGGACTATATGGAGGATGGTCCAATAATTCCGTTAAATACTGCCTTGTTTTTTGGGCTGTGTGCGAGCTGGCATTGACTTGGTGGAGGATGATTCTTCTTTCGGGGTTGATTTTTCGAAGCTCGGTGATGACTTTTGGCAAAAAAATGGTGGTGTACCAATCCGCAGTAACAGTTCTTTGCTGATTAAGAGGAATTGTTGCCATATGACCCGCTTTTGACACAAATGTCGCGACTATCTCTTTCGAAACACTTCGAGAACGGATGACTTTTGTTGGCTTTTCTTCACCTTGGAAGACCCAAACAGCCGACTGTCGTTTATTTTCTGGTTCGTAACAGAAAATCCACATTTTTTGAGTTTCCGGAATTGAAACGGTCAAGCGTTTGTTTACCCTGGCTGCTTTCTGCTCTTCAGTCAACAAACGAGAAACTAATTTTCTTAGTCCTAATTCTTGTTGTAAAATTTTTTGAAATGAGGTCTTTGAGATCTTCAAGGACGCCTCAATCTCGCGATATATCACATGTCTATCTTCTATGATGAGTTTGCGCACAGCATCGACGTTTACCTGGGTGACTGCCGTTTTTGGTGCACCCACCCTGGGATCGTCGCTAAGACTCACCCGTCCACGTTTGAATTCTCCATACCAACGGGAAATTGTCGACTGATGTGGCGCTTCGTTGCCGAAAACGTACAGTAACTCAGCAAGGCATTCTTGTTGGGATAATTGTCTCTGAAAGTTGTAATAAATTATGGCGCGAAAATGTTCTCGGTTGAGTTCCATTTTTCTAATGACTTGGTGACACTTAAAAGTTCACTGTAGTGAGAACACTGCACGTATGGTTGTGAAACTTTGAATTTAAGTTTACTAAAGAGTGAGGTTAAGATCCAGTACTGACCTTTCTATATGCAAAACTTAAAGAGACATCCCTTGTATAGCAAAAATAGATGTACGCTTGGCGACACCTTTTTACATGGCTAGTATGGAAGATCTAGTATCTATCCCTATTTGATTGATCCAAAATCGATGGAGAACTCTTAAAATGCCATTTCTATGAAAAAAATGGTAACAATTTAGATAATTTACAGAAACCGTTGAGCATTTTGGAACATTTTTTTTTATTTTAAGTTCCATAAAGCATTTAACTTCTGGTTATTATTTTATGTTTAGGTTTACGGTTATGCATTTTCCGGAAAAAAGCAAATGTTAAAGTTGATCTTTACAGCAAAAGTTGCTTACCTTACTTAGACTATTTAATAGTCTGAGTAAGGTCTCATTTTGAAGGTATTTTTATCCACTAACCGTCTTTGGTCCACTTACATCAATGATTCATGATTATTTGAATATAGGCGAAAAAGCGGTATTTTTCTCTCGATACAGAATCGTATGTTCGAAATTTCCAAACGTTCAAACAGGTCAGACAGCCTCGATAAGACCATTGCTCCAGCAGATAGGGTGCTAAAAAATTATCAACCCCTTCACCAAGACGTGACCCTAATATTCGTCGTCTGTACATTTTAGCCCAACAATAAAGATATTTTTTTACAATGCGTATGCAGATTTTCTATTTGCATTTTGACTGTAAGATTGATGATCAACCGAAATATTTACATATTCTTTATGGGCTTCCGTATTAACGGACATTAGAAAACATTAGAACTCATTTAGGTATATTAACATTGCACAAATGGCACTAGGCGTAAAGTAAACCTTTTCCTGGTATTATTTTTAGAAATTACCGTTGGTCCATGTATCTAAATTTAGTAAATTTATTCATAAACCTACATTCTATATAGGAAGAATGCATTAAGCCTATTTTTTATATTCAAAATGTAGCTCGTTAACGCGGCGGCAAGTAGCATCCTAAACATGAATTAGAATAAGTGCTTTTTTTATTGTGGACATTTCCCAGACTGGAAAATATAGCTGATCAGATCGGTGATGGATACCAACCGTAAATCATTATTTCTAAATCACGATAGCATCCGTTAAATATTTTGGTTCGCCGTTATAGATTAGTATTTATCGTTTCCGGAAGTTGTTGACACCAATTTTTTAATCTCAAGATTTAGTACCTTTTATAAGCGTTTTATTGATACACATGAAAATTTGATTTTGACTTAAATGGGAATTATTTGATGCTGCAGTTGCATGCATACGTCAGGCTGAGGGTACCAAAAGCATTCTAGCATCCATATTTTAACCATTTCCGACGAAATCTCTCACCTTCTTGCTTCTTGCATTCTTTTACTGGATAACATAGGCCGACAAGGTTTTTATCCAGAAATGTTTGGTGCTCTAGTTTTCGAGATACATAAAAGTGCAAAAATAGCGATTTTTGAGTATATTTGAGGTCATGTAGGAACGCGAGTTATTTTTTCTACAAAAAAAACCACAGTCATCATTTCACGGCACCGGACTTGCTTCATATGCTACTGAAATACATATTTCTTTCACTTCCAAAGTAAAAACGTTAATCTCAGTCCATAAACTTATTTGATTTTGATTATAATACATCAAAAGTTTTACATCAAGTTAACGTATTTTTATGAAACAAGACGTGCCAGCTAAAAAACTCATACATACATAAAATATCTAAAACTTACCCACACCACAAGCCGACCTACCCTATCAAGGCCGAGATTAACGTTCTTAATTTATATGTCATATTAAAATTCCAAATAAAAAATTACTTTTTTTTGACAGAAGCTGAACAGATCAGAAAAATAACAATTTCAAGGTGCCATATCCCAGAAAAAAAAGATATTCAAGCAAAGTGAAAGGCGAAAGGGCACGGCTTATACTGTGAGATGATGTCTACAGTGTTTTGTATAAAAAAAAACCTCAAATATAGCCAAAAATCGCTATTCTTGCACATTTAGGTTGATGTATCTTGGAACCTAGAACCAATTGTGAGACCTTAGGAAAAGTATACTCTGGTATCTAGGAGGAGGGTCGGCTCACTTTTGTCTGCTTGTGTAATATATCGCAAGATTGCCGCCTATAGAATGGCTAGAACGTTAACTAGTTATGAGAGTATAAAGGTTGGGTTCCAAAGTTGGAGCTATCTAAACATCAATTAACTATCCTACTTATTATTGTATCAACCTCAGCACAGCTTTCGTATCATGCACCAGGTGTATTCATCTGTGTACACTGACAAGCGCTGATCGTGAAATCAATTTTGAAAACCTCTACTCTGTTATTAACCTTCTCGATGAACCAGATTGTTATTTTCGTATGTGCATCATCGCTTTTTGTATACACATATAATTAATCATCGGAATATATTCAGTAGCCATTCTGAGCTGGTAACGGTGAAAAACTTTTGTGCCGTCCACAAGTTTCACCTCACATCATGCTAAAACATATTAATTACAATACAGTTTTTGTTGGGTAATTTTCTACGCTTCTTTCCTAGCTTGATTCAGCGGTACGAAACGAGCATCAGCTTTGAAAACCACGAAATGAATTCCTCGGCGGTTTTGGTTTTATTGTAAGGCCGATCAGGCTATCGCCCACTAGTTTTCAATTTAGAGTTGTGTGAGAACAATTTAGAAAAAGCAGCGGTTGAGATTGTTGATGCAAATTAGTTACATCTACCACTCGTTGGTTTTCCGAAGAGATTTTTGTTTGAAGCATTTCATGACATTGTGGGTAACAACAATATTAATATGTGCCAGTCTGGTGAAGTTCTGAATTTAGTAGTAAACTTAAATTAAAAAAAAAACACGGGTTTTGGTAGTTTTTGCTTCCCGCGCCTACTGGCGAATGTTTTCGACCCGCGTACTACTGCTGTTTAAGCTCACCGCCGCGCGAACCGCTCCGGCTGACAAATCTTTCCGTACTGAAGCACAAAAAATGAATACGGACCATGTACGATACACATACATTGAAGATAGGATATTGCGCATGTGGGAGGAGCCTTGTGACGTCACCGTGAGAGTTGTCGGCTCGTGGTTAACAGCGGTAGGATTGTCGTCACGTTACTGCGGTGCACTTGTATTATGGTTAATACTATATAGTGCGATTTGTTGGTGATTTTTGGTGGTTTTGTGACGCGTTGTATCAGTTATACATACCTTATATAGCCTGTGTGGTTGATAAATTGATAAAAATGCGGTATGCTGTTGTGGGATGTAATTCCGACAATCAATCTAAACGGAATCTTTGCAAAGACATGAAGTTCCACAGTTTTTCTTAACACCCAAACCTTAGCAAACAATAGCTACATCTTACAAAAAGATAAGACAAAGTCAATGTAAAAAGTGAAAGGGTTTGCTAGAAAATGTTCCTAGAGGATCTGAAACGACGCTTCAACGTCCAATACCTGTGATAGAAAACTTTTTCGGAGTAATTAGGGCAAAAGATGGTCTTCATGACCATACAAGTCCCCTAGAGTTTACGTATAGAATAAGGTCATATATTTTGGACGAAACGGAGGCACATACTCAGAGTACCTATTGGAGCGTGGAGTCAGAGTATACTCCTGACATTCCACTAACCACTAACCGCATCATTAACGAGAATAAACTGAATGCACCTGAAGTATCACCTGACTATAACGAGGAAGTTTTAGTGGAAGAAGTAGATGAGCTCGAGTATGACGAGCAGTAAAATTTGGTCGGCTTTGTTTGCCATAAATTGCAGGATGAGAGGTTGAAAAGGTCCTCAAATGAAACTTATTCCTGGATAGACCATCTTAGTGAGGGTGGATTCTCAAAACCTTCCACAACTTTCATGAATCAAATTGAGAAGCTGGACAAGGTGTTTACTAGATTCAGTGGGACGGAATAGTGACAGAAAATCTAAATTTTATAGGCGAACTTCTGTTAAAGAGCAGCAACATTGACTGCCCTAAAAAAGCCAAGAAACTATTATTTTTCAGGTCAAGGATGTTATTTCGGATCAAAGAACTGGAATTTTGAAAGACCAGAAAACTCGTAAAAGGAAATGGAATATTGTTTTTACAGGAAAGTAACGATACGCTCTATTGTCGAGCTATCAAGCCGTTTAAGCTATAGCCTATGAAATAATAGTTACAAGGTTGAAATCTTTTATTTAAATCTGCCATTTTGTTCTGTATAAAATTTTAATGTAGCTTGTATCACTCGCACCGCTAAGACGAATCCAACGACACTTCATATGTAAAAATCCGTCCAGCCGTTTGGCCCGTATATGAAAATATGCACGTTATCCATATCAACCCAAATGAGAATCACTCTCAGTGTGACGTCATGCACGCCGGCGGACGAACATCGAACAGCGGAGCATCCGGCACTGCGGACCATGATACTAAAGTGATGGTATAAATGTGCTATAACTTTCATTAACTAATACGTTTTAACGATAATCAAAATCAAATCAAAGAATGGCGCTCAATTTAAATCAGTCAGTTATATATTGGCCACCCTGTACAAATCAGTGCCTAGATGTAAGGCACTGCGAAAATGTTTCTTGTGCGATGCGTTTATAGTTTTGAACATAGCCTCTTTTCAGAAAGGACAACACAAATACCCCGTCTATATAGTACAGCTAATAGCTAATATACTTCGCGGGCAGGATTTTCATTAGTATTTTTCCCATTTCCCACATAGCAAATATCACTGAGTTTATACACCTACAGACGAATATACACAATCACCACACAATCATCCAAATGCGATCATGCATGGCCGACCGATCTTGCTATCTAACTAATTTTCTTTCTCTTACATCTCTCAGAGATACATACTCTACAGACTATCTCGGCATTCTACAACCAACAAAGCACGCTAGCATGTCGTTGAGTCATTCCTCCATAGATGGCGCTAGGGTGGCGCTCACAGCGCTCACAGCTAGCAGCAGAGGAATGCACTATTTATACACTAGCAGCTATCTAGTCCGACGGTTAACATTTTGTCGTTTTTTTTTTGACATTTTATAGACTTTTTCACAATAACCCTGCCGTTTCTTGGATATAGACAGATTGTCGCGTTCCTATGTAAGACGTTTCAAAAATACAACTGTGATCTTCCTTTACAGCTTCCCCGTCAGCGCGGCCCACAAGTCTGAACATAGAAAATGCGCATCTGGTGATCACCCAATCACCAATCACCCGATGATTGAATGGAGCTGGGAGAACCTGTGATAATGGACATTACGGAAACCTTCCGTAGCACAAGCAGCGAGGACCTTGCCAAATCGACCTCTGCAGATTTTTTCGACTTCGTCGTGCAGCAGCCGGAATCGAACGACGGTCAGGCGACCATCCAGCAGTTCAACAAGCAGCAGATGAGGAGCGTGAATGCGTTCCTGGAGGAAGCGAAGGAGACGAACAATAACAATATGGTTATTTCGGAAATACCAACTACTACCTCGGAAGGTGAGTACTATAATCTACTATAGCGAGAGAGGGCACTTACAGCTAATGCGTCTTTGTGTATCTGTTAGCGCATCTTGCTATACCCAAGGACACACTCAGCAGCGTACAAAGCGTAACACTATACCAAAGACGAGTTGTATTAAGACAAGCCATTTAGACAAACCGAATAAAATCATAGAGAAAGAAGAGATATTACTCCAAAAACCTGGAGTCCACACACCAGCTAAAGGCGTCTAAGCACGGCTGTTATCATTTAATCCGATTGTCAGATAGATACACCTTTTTGGATGAATTTATTGATCACCACTTGTACTGAACGCATTTTTTGTTCAAATTTACTTTTGTTTGAACATTAACTTATGGGGGGAATATGTGTAATCAACTTGCAACCTACAAAATATATTTTTCATTCAACAAACTTATAAAACACACTTTTAGCGAGAGACGCTATTCTCAAATCCTGTAAGTTATCACATAGCTATTTAACATTTGGGACCCTGCGAGGAATACCACACGACTCAGTTTAGTAATAACAGAAGTAAGTCAGCTTGAGATTCAAAGGTTTTCTAACCTCAAATTGTTTATTTCACCAATCGTCTGTCTATTTTACATGGTTGCGAGTTATTTAATGATGTGTTTTTTGGTCTGACTTCTTGACGTAACCAAAAACAAGTCCATTTTGCTTAGCTTATGCAGCATTTTAAAAATATTTCATGGCAGCTTGGCAACACCGCCTCGGGAGCAAGGCTATTTCGTTCGTATAGATAGAGCTTATTGCAAAAAAATATGGTTTCATATTTTCTCCGTATCCACTTACTTCTTTAGTTTTGTGGATAGTTCATACAGGGCGGCCAAGAACGCAAAATGAATGATCTCTCAAAATTTTCAAATGGATCCACTGTATAGATATAGGTTTATGAGGGTTTGTACGACTGGTTGTTGAGCTGAAGCTAACCTTTTTGTAAATCCGATATCAAGGTAGGTAAATGAAAAATATTACCTTTTAAAATAAGGAATGGTATTCAATTGGCCACAGCAGATCATTGCAATTGGTAAACTTTCATTAGTAATTAGACCTACTCAAGCTTATGCAATAAATTCGAACAGCTAAGGAGGAGTCTTTGTGTTTTTAGTACACGATAGGTCCATAGCTCCAATATAACACATGTCACGTGAAAAAGTTAAGTCTTCCAACAATATGATTTGACTTGGAAAATATATTTCCCCTACATTACTAACCCTTTTGTGAATTGCATATTCGGGTAATTTTTATTAACATGGAAAACAGGCAAGTCATCACAACAACAACATTTGAGTCTAAAGGGAAGATCACAAAACTGCCTTCTTGATGCATCCCAGATATATCGACACCGATATCGTGAACGCAAGATACCGAATATCATAGGAAAGAGGATAAACATTACACAGTATGCTGAATTGCAATATTTTTTTGGCATGGTGTTATTTTCTATTCATCTTGAGGCCCGCTTTAATATACCAAGTGACATATAAATCCTAACACCCAGTTTAAATGGTTTTATTTTAATAAAATTTACTTAAAAGTACTAAAAGTACTTAATGAAGCATAATAAGTAAATGATAAAAATTTCAAAATGATTGCACTGTGTTAAAGCCCTTTGACCTTTAATAATGCGTGGATGCACCCTGATGTGCTACGCATTCTCCAACGCGCCTAGGCATGCTTCTGATCAGGTGGTCAATGTCCTCCTGTGGTATCTCATTCCAGGCAACCACCAACTCCTCTCGAAATGCTTCTAGAGTCTGAGGAGGACGTTGCAAATTGAGCAATCTCCTACCCATCATATCCCACACGTGCTCAATTGGGGATAAGTCGGGAGATCTTGGTGGCCATGGTAACAATGTGACATCATTATGTTGAAAGAAGTCTATTGTGACTCTTGCAACATATGGTCGGGCATTATCTTGTTGGAAAGTTGGATGTGCCAGGGTGTCAAGATAGGGTAAAAGATGGGGTTCTAGAACTTCGTGGATATAATGCTGCGCGTTCATGTTACCTCTGATGAAGATTAAAGGTGACCTGGAACCATAAGCTATAGCACCCCAAACCATAACTCCAACAGTGTGATGAACATGTCTTTCAACAAAAAACTGTGGAGTCCTCCTTTCACCACGTCGCCTTCTAACCCTGGCACGACCATCGTGCATGCCTAAACAAAATCGAGACTCGTCACTAAAGACAATACTGTTCCATTCCTGATCCCAGAGTGACCGTTGTCTGCACCACTCAAGGCGATTACGTCGGTGTTCTCGAGTTAAAGGGAGGACCCAGTGTAGCCGGTATGAAAACAAGCCAAAACTTCTCATTCGTCGGTAAACACTTCGCATGCCAATAGGTCTTCCGTGTTCTGCAAACCATTCATTTGCAATGGACCTGGTAGTGGAGAAACGGTCCCTTAAGGCCAATAATCTTAGGCGACGATCTTCACGGTCTGTTGTTCTACGGCGGCGTCCAGTGCCCCTTGCTCTTTGCGTACGGCGTTCTCGAAGCCATGCCTGACAACACCTAACCACAGTGTCTACACTTCTTTGCACTCTAACTGCAATTGCCCGAAAAGAAAGTCCAGCGTCCCGAAGTCCCACTATACGGCCCCTATCAAACTCACTAAGTTGACGAAATCGTACAGGTCTCCGTACTCTAGGCATCGTAACCGATCGTAAAGGATGTCAAGAACCAAAATCCGCCAACGTTGATTCTTTACTGCGGCTGAAATATTCATTTTTAGAGCGTTAGTGAATTAAAAAAAAGCAGTATAAAAACCGGAATGTCCAACTGATAAGGCTGAAAATTTTTTCACTTGTTATTTACAGTAAGATAAATACATTCACCAACTTTTATTAAAATAAAACCATTTAAAATGGGTGTTCGGATTTATATGTCACTTAGTATCAAAAAGGTTAGCCTTAGCTCAAAAACCATGCATGCAAACCCACATAAATTTTATATCAAGAGAAAGCTTGTGGAAAGAGGAACAAAAGAATGCAAAAATATACAGGGTGCTCCATACAAAATTTTGAGAAATAGTTGATACTGTGTATAAGATATACAATAAAATGAAAAATGGGAAAAATGGAGTTATAATATGTTTCTACGAAAAATTAGGTTGGTGGAGCGAGTTGTCAAAGCTGAGTGTTTTCTTTATAGATTGGAATTGAAACTTTATAGATCGTTAGATTTTGCAGTCTTGGAGTCTTATTCTTCAGTTCCAATGACACTGAACTTTGTGAATTTTATGATATATTTATCTTTTCCAATTTGCGGTTATTTGAGCATTTAGGGATTTTGTTACTTTGATATTTTGGAATCCTAGCATCTTGAGGTTGTCGCATTTTGGAATTCATGAATTACGAGAATTGGCCCTCTTGAGATTTTGGATATTTTAGAATCTGAATATTTTCAGTGCTGCTAAAGTAGCAACAGTTCTTGTTCTAGTAAATTGTTTTTTGGAAATGTTGGCATCGCTATTTTGGCATTTGCTGATACGGGAGGCAAAACTTTAAAAATCAGACGATTTTGAGATCATTTTGGATTGTATTAGTTATTCTTGATTACGGAGCATCGAAGGTTGCTGTGATTTGGAGATGTTGGCATCCAGGATTTTTAAACTGATGTGCAAATGAAAGGGAATTTGCGGATTTTGGCACATCGTTTCAGATCTGAAAATGTGCTATTGTTGATTGTTTTTCTTATGATGATTGACGAATTCAGGAGTTTGTGTCAGGTTGTGTATTTAGGAATTTGAGAAATTTGAAGGCACCCTTGCATAGCTAGATATTCTTATCAAACGAGGTTCTGTATTTTTACTATGTTCTCTTGTTCCAGGTGTGTCGAATTTTGACGCGAACTTTTGGAGCGACAAGGAGACGGTGCGGATAGAGACTGCCATTTTAGAGGATCTGAACAAGTACTGTTGGAGTACGGAGGAAGCCGGCGGTGTAGAGCAGCAACTTAGTCCTGGAAAGAGCAGCACACAGAACACAGATGGACAAATATATACCCTTACAGTATTAAATGGTAATCAACAACCTAGTACAACCAAAGGTATTAAAATGCGATGAAACATTTGTATGCGGTGTTTCAGCCCGGCTATAGTACTGAACAGTTCAGGCTATAATCTTAAATAGCCTCCACTAGTGCGATCTCTGAAGCGGATTTTACATTAACTCAAACACATCTACTACAAGTGAATGATAGGTAGTACGCAGTAAAAATTACTCCGATCACCAGTGCCAGATTGTGTCTCACAATGGCCATCGCTTCTATTTTGCTTTTACGTAATGAGGTCAAGAAGTCCATTGCTTGCCAATATTTGATTGCTGCTCCTAAGCCTTTGAACATTTTATATAGCTAGATGAATGATACCATTCTTGCCTTTAATTGCTTCTCTAAACTGTATTTTGCTCTTTGATTTTTCTACAGGTATTGACCAAAGCGCCACGTGGTACCGACCTCCCAAAGAGGACGAGTCCATATCCAGTCCTAGCTCTATGGAACATCTCCAAGCTGGTTTGGACATCGACACCTTCCTCAATATCATTCCCGGTCAATTAAACAACTTTACTAGCTACAACGAAGGCAAGTACTACATCGACATCTATATCTAGATACCGAAACAGGAAATAATGCAATATTTTTGTTTTTTCCTCCACTTTAAACGACTGATAAAAGAATAGTTTATAATAGAGGGTGTTTCAATAGGTGCTCCAGGATCTAACTTTGACGACATTTTTTACTTGACACATTTTATAACACGCACAGGGCCGTCTTAACACGGGGGCTCGCGGGGCCCAGGCCCAGAGCCCCGTCATGATGGGGGGCCCTAAAAGCCAAATGCTTATATGCAATGTGTTGCGCCATCTAGCCATCACATAGACTACTAATCTTGTTATTCATTAAAGTAGTTCGATTTTTTTGGGGGCCCCAAGTTCCTGTGGGCCCAGGGCCCCCGCATCTAGAAACCCGAAATTTTAAGATAGGGCTGGAAGGGGGTATTCATGTTAGGAAAAATTTAAATAACAAACTGACAATAGTTCTCTTTTGGCAGTGAGGTAAATCGTGAAATTTTACGCGTAGGACCTGAAGAGCTGATCATCGTTTTCTGGATAATTTCCTCTTTCGCAACCTTATAAATCACACTTTTTACGGGAAAAGAACGCATACAATTAATGACCTGATACAAGAAATTTTTCAAATTACTGGTGAAATTGAGCCGCAATTATGAGATAAGTGATGTCCCTAATTTGTTAAATAAATAAATTAAAAACATGTTTGACGTACCTTCTGAAACGTGTCCTGTGGTTTTATTTTCAACCTATCCCGGGGCACAATCTCAGCATGTTACAGAATCGTTTAGACTATTGTATTAGCACACTGATTAGAATATTAGAAAAAAGAAACGAAATGTCGACGAGAAGACAGAAGAAATGCATGCCACTTTACTTGAAAACGCCACAATGGTGGTAGGAACGTCGCACGATAAGCAGAAGTCTATGGTTCTAATTCGTCCAGAGAGTGGGGTCCTATAAAAATGTTTGCCAAAGGAGTAGAAACACTTCAGGAAGCTTTCGGATGATATTTTTACAAAATTGCTGGTGTTACTTAAAAAAAAACAAAATTACACACATGAGAAATCGAAACGTCGCGCGACTTTCAGACGATGAAAGCATTGTCACACTGCCGAGCTGCTGTCTCAGGCAACTTCAATTTATCATCAAAGTACCTACTGGGACACCACTTATATGCAATAATTAAAACAAGTCAATGTATTGGCTGTTTTAAATAACAAATTAGATTATCTCGCAAAGTCAGTCTACAGCTATGTTGACGTCACTTCTGTTATCGAACAGCAGTGATAGAACACTTGTGACAGATGTCAAATTACAATACTTATAACTACTTTATAACCAAAGGATTGTGCTGTTCCGTGCATTGACACCGCATCGGTCCAAGAGTTGACCCAGCACCAGCCCATTTAAACTTAGCGCTAAGCTCAAGCTTCAACACAACATCAACAACCGTTTTTATACCGTGATTACTAGCGGTATAAACTGACTGGTGTTGCCCACCCCTATAGTACAGTGATGTTTTTATTGTTCTGTTGTTAGCACTGATCGATGACCAACTGGCCAGAGCCTTATTTTCAATATCATGCTCAAATATAAAATAGAATCGTTACTTAATATTGCCACTATAATATTCCTATAACATAGGATATGTGAGTTCAATTATATACAGTATATTCAGATAAGAGATAGACCGGACATAAACAAGACCACGTGATCATCGAACGCTGTAACATTCGGCAGGGACGTATTAAGAGTCACACAGTACATATTTTAGATAGTAGATGCTACTTTGCGTAACTTTGTAGTAAATTAGCACAATTCGATGTGGGGGTGGGGTAAGAAATATATAATGATGTAAATATACATAAGGGTTTCAAAATTTTCGCTTCGATTTCCAGCTTCGGATGCCGCCTGATGTTTGGTGAAATACAGTCGAATATAATCTCAAAATGGCGTTTAAATTAGCCTAAATTAAAAATAATCGTATATCTCTTAAAACTGCTTTTAGAATATTGATTAGTATATTTTTTGATTTCTAGGTAAATATGTAACCAAATTAAAACGTTCAAAACGTAAAAAATGTGCATGGTTGAACATTGTCAGAAAGTAGATTCTTGAATAGGTTTTGCCAAAATGGGTTCAAAAATGTCAATAATTAATTAAAAAATACAGTAGCTTTATAATTACTTATAACTTACCGAATTTGATGAACGACATGTTTTATTGGAAAGATGAGCTTGATGAGCTTTCATCATCGCTACTGCCTGAAGCACCAACGTCAGTAATGAATGGCTCGACTTGTTCCTCTAAAATATTGTCCAGTTCCCACATTCTCTTTTCAACTTTGTCTTTCACGTGCTTAATACAGTTTTCCCATTTTTGCGCTGTTATTAATTCTAGTGCTTCTTTGAAAAGTCCTTTGAGGTCACAAAATTTAAAAGTTGTATTGTGCTTAGCTATATAATTTTTAACCTCTGCCCATATGAGCTCAATGGGATTGAGCTCGCAATGGTATGGAGGTAAACGGAGCACAGTTTTATTTTGACTTGCTGCCATTTCGTCAATGGCGTATTTTTGATATTCCGCCTTGTGATCCTTGACAATTCTTAATAACTGTACTTTCAGCATTGCTTCTTCAAAGTTGATATTTTTCGAGCGGAGCCAATTTTGAACATCAACTTTCCTTGAAGTCGTTGTTGGGCCCTTCTCCATTCTTCGAGAATGATAAGGCGCATTATCCAACACAATTACTGCGTTTTCCTCTAAGTTCGGTAAAATTTTTGAAAACCACTGTTCAAACGATTCGCCATTCATTTCCTCGTGGTAATCTCCAGTTTTCTTAGACTCAAAGCACCACAGACCGTCAACAACAAATCCATCCTCACTGCCAATATGGCAGATAATGAGCCTTTTCCCTTTACCTGGAAATCGAAGTACTAACTGGTGTAGATTTATTTCAATAAGCGAACCTTTTTCAAATGTTTTCATCACATTCAGCGAAAAAACATTGAGACATGAGTATCAGATTGCTATAATTGGGATTATTTAGTCATATTGAAAGAAATAATATTGAACGTCGTATGATTACTCAGCGCTTCACAATTTAATTTAAAGTTATAAACCTTTAAAAAATGAATGATCAGGAACCTGAAATACGCGCAAATATTAATATTAACAAATTATAACTTTATAAAGCTTAAAGTATGAATTAAAATGATTAGAAATATTAGGAACGGTACACAATATAAAACTTAGTAACTTTTTTTAAGTTTATAATATTAGACATATTTTAAGATTATATTAAAAAATTATTGAAATATCGAAAACACATAAAAACATGGCTTAAAAAAGTTCTAACAAATGAAAATGACAATAAAACATCCACGCATTTTATCGAAAGTTATAAAAGTTTTGTTACTTGTAATATGTTTTATCTGCCCCCTGGAATTAATGTTTAGAACCTTGTTCGAAGGTTTGAAAAACATCCGATTGTTGTCTATTACTCGTATTTACCTGCTGGATTTTTTAATCCGGTGGACAGTCCATCTAGAAAGACCCTCCTGGATGAAGTTACAGAATCATCAACCCATACTTTACTTGTAGTGTGTCCTGCGTTTACCCACGTTTCATCAAGGTAATAAATCTTCCTGTTTTGATTTCTATATTTCCCAATTTTTGTTAAATAATCCCTCCTCCATAGCACAATTTCTTCTCTATCCAGTAGTAAACTATTACGACCCCGTTTTTTCCATTTGAAATTTAAATGCTTCAGTAACGCATGGAAAGTTGATCGTTTGAAATTTGGCAACGTTGTATCTCCATTTACCTCCTGCAGTACTTTATCTATAGTAGGTATTTCATTCCTAAAGAAGAATTCATGCACTTTCCTCCTAATCGCATGCTTATCAGCTTCATCCAATGATTTAACAATACTTTTGCGATGTTTACTGGTCATTGGCTCAGAAAAGGTGTGATTTTTTTTGTATTGTCTTAACACATTAAACACTGATGCGCGACACACCCCAACTTTGTGAGAAACCTTCACAACAATTTCTTTGATTGTTGATGCCTCGTTCTCCTCGCGCTCGATCTTATATATATATTCAAAATGACCTCTTTCATTTCTGCACTCAGGTATCTTTTTTTAGAGCGTTTCCTAGGTGGACTACAGGAGTTTACAACTTCATCGGCAGTATCTGTACTACTGGGCATTTTGCGCAAGCAGTTGATAACAATAACAATCAATAACAAGGTATAACAATAACAACGACAAACTCAACAACTTAATAAGATAACAAACGAAAACGTCCAAAGAAATATCAAATTGCAATGATGCACACGACATACGTAACACGTCTGAACCTGAATGTGACTCTGCCTTGATACGACTGCTCTGCCGCTCGGCATAGGCATTTAATTGCGAATTGACCAATGAGGGCTCCTGTTTTACGTCGAGACGGCGGCGTTAGCGTGAAAATCACCCGAACCTTTTGTTTACATCCGGTCTATCTCTTATCTGAATATACTGTAGCTCTGTTTTTTCATCACGTTCTTTTTTAAATTTTTATTTGATCAATTCTTTTTATTTATTTTTCCCTCTTCTCCACTTCATTTTAAAGATTGCACAATCATCTTTTTTTTATTTTGAGATATATTTCACTTTATACTGACTTTTTATTACTTTTTTTTATTTTCGTTCATTTTTTCAAACATCCCTATTGTAACTTACATCTTATACTGCGATGTAAACATGGACGGCTTGAGTACTATGCATTATTTTCGAGATTAAATTGATACATTAAATGAAATGTTTGATATTGTGTTATAGGCACGATGAGTCCCAACACAGATGGCCTGATCAAATCCGAAACCTACACGTACGAGGACAGCGGGTTCGCGGATAACAAAGAGGACCTCACCAGCGCCCTTATTATAGACACTCCCATGTTGGAGGCTCACGACAGCTTTAACAATAACAACAACGATTGGAAAATGACGAATAACAACACTACGACGTCAACGCAACAAAGTAGTTCGTCCCCTGATTCGTTGTTGAGGAGCGCGTTGCAGGGCAAAGCTGCCTTTGCGAGATATAATGGTGAGTACGGATACCCAAATTTCCTATATTAGGCCCCATCCTAACTTGTTTAAGACTTCTCGCAGAGTAGTACTACTAGTACTTCGTACTATTCTCTTGTCCTAAGTTGCACGTCTTTTGAGGAATAGAGAAGCGAAGACAAAAGAACCAAGCTTTTTATATAGGTTCCTTTAGATACGAAAAGGTGGTTAATAGTAGACGTGTACAAATTACGTTGCGGTTCTTTTCTCGTCGGTTCGTGTCAGTTGGCGTGCATCTCTACAGACTCTATAAGCTGACGCCAGAACTTCTCGACAAGACTGCTCACACTAGTGCCCTCTTTTTGCCATAATTTCACAAAAACAGAACAATGTTATTCCTTCAGTCTATCGGTCTGTTTGGCAACTATTATTTGAAACTTGGAAAGTACCGCTCCGGTTTGTGATCACTAACCAATCACTATGACAAGGATAAAAAAAGCTTTGTAGTTTTTGATAATCGATTTGGCGGCGGAGCTCTAGGTAGAAACATAAAAAAAATCGTTTCTGGACGTTTGATCATCTCCAGCTAGCTGTGTGTCTTAGTTTTGTGGCGTCAGCATATTATGCTTCTAACCTTGGTAATTTCACGCACATATTGGACAGATTTCACACATCACATGTACATTTGTCCTTGATCAATGATAGAGAAATGCCTTATACATACGTCTCCCTCTAGGTTGAGTAGCGTCATGTCCCTTCAAGTGTTTCGTTTCATGAATGCCACGCTACCGAGGCTGACGAGCGAAAATGAATGATGATATTGTTGCAAGGAGACACTTGCGTTGCCGCTCTTTACATGCAATGATGACTCCAGAATGGACGCTTACGCATTGGAGAGGATTGCAAATGACTTCCAATGCACATAATAAAATCTTTTTTTTTTGTTAAACCAGCTGTCCAAATCTTAATGCATCTGAAGACTGCAAGTAGTTCCTCAGGTGAATGCTAGGAACCGGTAGTTTCCCGAAAATGACTAGCATTTTGAGTGAACATTTCTAAGTACTCCGAGTTTATACATATTGATGGATGGTGGTTTTAAGCTGAAAAATCCAGTAGACATTATTTGTGACATACTGTCCAGTAATCAGTAGATAATAAACTGTCGAATAGAATTACCCATTGTCTGACATTAATTGTCTCTTTTGGCTTATTTTCCAGGTGCCTTGAAAGCGTCAAAATCCGAAACGAACGCCGAACTCCGGCGGGCGCTGTCAACGCCTCCCACCAAAACGGAAACCATGTACATAAAAGAAGAACAACAGGACAATATCCCCACCATAGTAGCAGGAATCGATGCCAATGGTAAAGTGGTGTTCGAAGAACACGTCAGCAGTAGGGTCCAGGCTGTTCAAGAGACAAGCACCAGTTCTGCGGGTGACAATAACCCTAGTAGTACACATAATGTTGACGACCTGCTACTTAGTCAATTGGATCATCCTTTTCCGGAGGACTTTGAGAAGCTCAAAAGGATAGCTAACGAGGTTAGTAAAGGATGTGAAGTTCTAGGAGGTTCACGCATCCGTCTTCATATGCATAGCATCCAGGCCGTTTGCTATCGCTTCAGATGTCGAGGACTATTTAAAGCCTGGCAAGAACAACTACACAGGATAAGTCACGACTATGATTAGCAAGAAGAATCGGAGAACCTACAGAGATCACGATAGCGACTAAATAATTCTTCATGAATATAAGAAACCACTGCTATTTTCAGTTTTTCCACGTAAAAATGTGCCTGAAGGAAGATGACTTGAAAAAGAAACGCGTTTTTGAGGTTATGGGCCTTGACAAGGTCGCTACTGAGCTTTTCTATAAAGTTTCGGCTATAGATTTCCATCTTTGAGGTTAGGGGACCTTGACAAGGTCTAGTGAGAAACCTTTATGTATATCTTTAGCTAGTGATTTGTAATATTTCAGCATATAAATTTCGTTATTTTCAAAAATGATTCTTGACTTTTCCATTTTGATATCTTGGTGAACCAATACTGACAGTGTGCGTTTTTGAGGTTATGGGCCTAGACAAAACCTATCGAGTAACTCTTATAAAAGGCTTCGGCTTTAGATTTGCAGTATTTCAGTAAAGAACGCGAGTTTAGTCGCGATCTCCAAGACGATTAATCGGAAAACCAATACTGCCACATCAAGCGATTTTGAAGCTAAATGTCTCGAGACCATCTACTGGAAAACTTTAACAAATCTTAAAAATTAATTCTTTTTCTACAACCAGGTGGCTGAATCGGTGAATCAGTACTGTCACATTGACACCAGTGGTGCCTCCGACGCGACAGTGAACAGCATTGGAAGCCTGAGCAGTGAGCAAATAGGTATCCTGTATAACCTGAGCTCACCCATACAGATCACGACAGCGACAGCGCCGGTGGTTACTAGTACAGCCAAGCCGACTAAAAAGTACAAACGGCAGAACAGTACGGGTGCCACCAAAACAGGACAGACACAGGTAAGAGGAAGATGTTTAAGATACTTTATCAGACTGTAGTCCGGTCAAAGTTACAAAAATCTCGAGATCAGGCGGCTAGTCAGCCATATGGTATGGACTACTGAAAAACTCCACCATCATTAGAAAAAAGACTCGTCATCATCAGCAGAAATACGGTGGGCGACATCTATCCGTTTATGGAACGGTCATTCTCTTTCAGTGTTGACCAGAGGCGCAAGGACCTTCTGCATTTTCAGCATATGTGCCAAAGATGTATTTGACGAATTTCTCGCAGGCATGTGCCGATAAAACATACTGTGTTTTTCGAAAAACTTCACCAGCTTGATTGCTTTCCGTTTGTCTGTTTCCACATGACTAGACCAATGCCGCAGTGATGATTGCTAAAAAGCATGAAACAACGTTGTATAGGTTGGTCATGGTTACATAAGCTGATAACAAACAGATTTTGTTCAGCTTGGTGCCAGTATTTATGGGTACATTATGGATACATCAGAATATCTCGAAAAACACATTTCTAGAAACAAATCTTGTAGGATAAAGTTGTAAAATATGGAAAGGGTCATCTTATGGTAACCTTGACCTTGACTATGACATTCAAGGTCATTTGAAGGTCAAGACAGCCTTCTTAAACTGAAACTGTTATTCTTGATGCCGGAAATGTAGAGCGATAAATTTTATGTTCAAGTAAGTCCTTGTCTATAACCTTGATCAAAAGGTTTCAAGATCATTTTAAGCCGTCAAACGGTATGGAGAAAACAAAATATATCGAAAAGTATGCTACCTAGAGAAAAATGGCGCTGAACAAAGTTGCAAGGTTTAAGACAGATCGTCGAGTCGTAACCTTAAACGTGACCTTGATAATGACCTTGGATGTTCAAAATGACCAAGGACGTGTAATTACTGTTGTGCAAGCAAAAGTAGGAGTATGCCGATAAAAAAATACTTGATAGTGATCTTGACCGTAAAATGTTTCGCTTCGTTAGATCTCCGACAAAAAGTGAGGAGGTTACTCAAAAGTTTATCTGAACTTCAAAAGGCCTTGAAGGTTATCGTCATGTCCATTGACAAGGAATACTTGAATGTGAAGTTGTCTACAATTTATTATTTCCCGTTAAAAAATTGACCTGAATTTAAAATGGCTTTGTTGGTCATAGTCATGGACACACTTGAACATAAAGTTACCCGGTGTCAGAATGGGGTTTCCATTTAAGAAAAATGTCTTGATGTTCAAATGACCTTGGAAGTCAGACAAGTTCATGTCCAGGGCCAGCGTTTCAAACCTTACAATTTTCTCCTACAACTTTTTTTTCTAGGATACGTATCTCTTGAGATACTTTGATGAACGTCTTTGTTTCTGTACCTCCACTAACTGATTATTCTCATTCTTCTCCAGGTCCAAAACGCTTCCTCAACAAGCAACGGCGTCCGCAAAGAACGCTCCCTACACTACTGCAGCATCTGCTCGAAAGGTTTCAAGGACAAATACTCGGTGAACGTTCACATCCGCACTCACACGGGCGAGAAACCCTTCGCGTGCAGCCTGTGCGGAAAGAGCTTCAGGCAGAAGGCGCACCTCGCGAAGCACTACCAGACGCACATCGCACAGAAGAACGCATCAGCTGCCAGTGCTGGTGGTGGGGGTGGCAGTCAGGGTGGCGCGGCGGGCAAGGCGAAGCCAAGGTAGCTTTGAGAGGGGTAAAAGATGAGAAGGTTTGTGAAGTGTGCGGTGGTGTGATGTGTTGGTGATGAAAAGTGAATTGTGGGGGGAATGGAATGGGAATGATGTGTGGTGGAGAGTAGGGGAGTTCGAGAGTTCATAACGTGGATAATATGCGTTTTATGCATAAAATATCAGATCTAGCAGATTTTAGTCAAAATGTGTTTGATGTACTTCTATGAAAAATCCCTCGTATCAGCAGATCTTATATAGATTCCGCGTTGCACATTTAAGAAGATTATAGGTCAAACTAAGCCATTAAGAAACGCAAGACACTAATGGTCTTAGTTTTTTGAACCGTCCCGAGGCTCTTAATAAATTGATCAGCTATGACCAGGGTTCTCATGAGCAAATTTTCGTTAAAGAAAACTGCTCTAACAGAAAACCTTAACTTGCTCGATTGCAAAAATCATTGCAACGTTAAGAACAAAAGTAGTTTCTAGCGATGTGGAACACTACTGAACTTATCAGGATTTAAAATGAAAATATACAGAAAAAATGCAAAGAATAAACGAAAATAATTTGTTGGATTTTTCAGGTATCTCTGCATCACTAGCTGAAATAGAAAGGACATAGGATGTGATCATTACCATAGAACATCTCTTTTCTGATTATGCGAATTGGTATGCGATCTTCTAGAGGTAGTATTTTGAAAATACCTCTCATTTTTTTCCAATTCTATGAGTACGACGTAGTCTGACAGTACTAAAGTTGCGATTGGAGATGAAAGGGAAATATACTTTCTCTTGAAACCCACACAAACTAGTCAGTCTGGAGCTGCTGCGGGTTTACGTGCTGTATCTCCATAGTAACTATCAAACCTGATAGCAAAGTGAAAACTGCTGCCATCTAGCAAGGATATTAAACGGATACTGCGATACAGCATTCAAAATCGCTATACTTACCTGAATGAACTGATTTTTAGTACTTTTCAATTACACAATGTTACCTTGATGTAAAATGAGAAAAAGGGAGCTGTCCCATAATTCTTTTTTTTGAGCATATCCTTCACTAAATTTAATACCTTAACATAAACGAGAACGAATGTTAAAGAATCCAGGGCAAATATGCTACTGACACACCATTCCCAACGTTCCGATCTCATAACTCGCACGAGAACAATTTGCAGATCAAATGACAACGAAATTTGAATACTCAATAAATCATGAACAATTTTTAGGGAAATTTTATAGCCTTGTTCCTAAGCTTAACCTGTTTTGTTATTATGTTTTGTATTACGTGCTGTGATGAATGAAATTAATATTCAAAAAATAAAAGCGATGTTGTAAGTAAGAATTCTGCCTTAAAAAATTCTCTTGCCATTTCTGTATTATGTTATGTTTAGGTACGTATTTATTTTTCATTTTTTACATTTAATTGGTCACTAAGTAAAGTGGAAAATTATAAAATTTTAAATCAAATGATGATGAAGCAATGTTTTATTATTGGGATATCATTGTTTCAACATTTTAAGACCACAAATTCAAAGAAATTCTCACGTTATTGAAAGTTGAGGTGCCTTGGAATTTGATTTTGTTAATTAAAGGTGATATAGTTGACAATAACCATACCATATCCATGATTGCATCATTATTCTATATAAAAAATAAACTTTGTTTGAATTAGCAGAGGACCGGTTAACTGGTATAAGAATATTAAAATATAATATAATAAACTAAAAAAAAAATCGTATTTGATATTGTGCTCTCAAATTCTGAAGGAGTCTTCATTGCCTAAAAAGGCACCACTTTAATTATTGACCGATTTTTTTAGTTGTTTAATATATGTTGTTTTGTACAGGGCGTATAGTTTCATCGTATATTTAAGTATAATTCCTAACGTAAAAGTATTATTCTGCCCTGCTCTACCTATACGAGGTGTGTAAGAAAAATACGTATCATATGAAGATGCTTTATAAAATATAATCTCGAGATGACTCTTAGAAAGCATAAAATGAGTAGAGCTAACAAAATTCAAAAAGGAAGACGTGATCATCCTCATCGGCAGTACAGTTTATTTGAAACCATGAATAAAAATCCATGATTCTCATCTTTAATAAAAAATAATGATATACATTTTTGTATATGTATATGAGAGAACTTGGCCACATGTCCTTGCAGACTCACTAATAACCGAAATTCATATTAAAAATTATAGGCATTCATTATCCTACTGAACTTGTAATAGTGTTATTTTCATAACTATGAGTTTATTCCATATTTTGTCTTATTAGAAATGAGGTTTTCTTCGATCTACAATACTTTTAGCCAATTTACTTAAAATTATATATCCTAAAAATTAAATGAGTGATAGGTATTTTGTTGAGCTCTCTACTCAACAGCCTTCAGATTTTATAGCATCTCTCATAGGCGTGAATGTGAAATGACATTTTTTGTATTAAAGAAAATATTATAGTCAGGATCCATATTAAACTCAACCCCCAACGATCTGACTTTCTAGATGAAAAGTATTTTAGGAAACAGGATGGACTACATCCTTTTACATAATTATAGTAATATTATAAACAACGAGGCTGCAGTTTTTTTAATAGGTCGGGTTTCCTTTAAGCAACCTACCACCGACATTTTTTAAAGTATTCATTCATAATTTGCCGCTAATTTATGACAATGTTATAACCAAGTCGTCTGGACTATAGCTTGTGATACTTAAGCAAACTCAACGGCATTGGAAAAGGCAAGACTTGTACTGAGATGATGTCTATGGTTTTTTTAAATAAAAAACGACGCCATGCTACATCATCCCAAGTATAGGTAAAATATCGCTATTTTTGTACTTCTAGGTTAAAGTATCTCGAAAACTAGAGCTAGTTGGTTCCTGGCTAAAAATCTTGGCGGCCTGTGTGACTTTGATTTGGTCGTGAGTTCGTTGAAGTTCGAGTTTATAATTCGGACCTAAGACTATGACATGCACACACCTTGTGTTCTCTTTCATCTTAGAAGCTTTTAGTTGTTTCCTTAGTTCGCTTTATTTAATAGCAGTAGTCAAACTACAGTTTACCATTATAGCAAGGCATTAACATGACCTTCTCTTACCTTCAAATACTCACTTTGTGTAAAAAAGTATTAAAGTAAAATTTAAAAAATGTTATCTGTATAAAATCATAGGATAATTTTTTTTGTTATTTAGAATTACAATGTGAGTACAAAGGCTGGTGATTTTGACAAAATTACTTCGCCAAGAATTTGTTGTTCAGTTGTAATTTTTTTACCACCTACAGTTGTTGTTTATTTTATAAATATTTATATTGTGCGTTTTACAATTTTTGTAAAAAATTGGTTGTACTTTTTGTATAGTACGAATCTTTGAAATCTGACAGTTCTCCACGAAGCCACTGTATATAGTAATCTCCTATTTACTTGAATTCCTCAAATCAAAGAATTTTTGCAATTGAAGTACCACTTTTGTGAACAAAGAGAAGTACATTTTTCAATTTTCCATTTAAGATTTCTGGAACATTGACTCGCAAAGTATCCATTTATACTAATTTTTCGATGCTCAAGTTGTGTGATATCAGAGGGAACTGAAAACGTCGACGTCAAAGGTGGTAAACGATTGCAGAAATCTCTTATGTAAGTGGTTCTTTCTACTATTTTTCGGAAAATTTAAAATAATTTGTGATATAATAAAATAAAACCGTCCATTTGATTCTCTTCGAAATGACATGTACTTATCTAGATCTTACTAATATTGTAATATCAGTATTCTTAGACAATTTTACTGAAAGAAAACTATACGTAACAGACACTATTTGTTCAATTTTCTTGAACTCCACTGTTTTCAGTAACGTTGTCTGCATTTGTTGAACGTTCTTGTGTAAAAAAATCACGTATTTATGACAGTTTGCCATGGTATAGGGATTTTTTATATTCTTTTTTTCGATCTCAATCAGTTCGTTGGTCGACTTCAGCGCCAATATTGTAATATTTTCTGTACTGTGTTCTCCTTAAAATAATACTCTACCTAGTTTACATACATACTAAATGCACATAAAAACAGGCATATACTGTAATAACACATCTCTACATATATAAACCTTTGTTTATATACCGCCATAGATCTTTTTATACACAGTTATGTATAGTTTATACCAGATTTTATCTTCTCTTTTTTTATTGTATTATTGATTTTATTAAAGTATTTTTATACCTAGATCCATATATTTACGTTTTATAACTTTTTATCATTATAATTATTTGTGAACCAATAAATGTATTTAAAAAATATTATTGTCTTTGATTACCTCGGGTCGCCACACTCTAGCGGGGAAACATGTGTGCACGCAACCTGCACACATTCTACGAGATACGCCGGGTGGTACCTCCTTATAGACCCAAGAGAAAAATTTCTCTTGGGACGGGATTCGAACCCGATGCTGCTGAGACCCTTCTTTCATTTTTTAGTTCTCATCGGATCTATTAGTGTAGTCGAAAATGAGATATGTTTTTGGATGTGACGCATTTCTATCCGTCTGTCTGACCGCTAACTCTTTATCAGGTTGATTCTCAAGTTGTTGGGTTGCCCATAAACTCGGTCTTCAAGGTCTGGTTAAGTAACCCGTCATTATTGATATGTCAATGCTGCATCTTAACTATCGTGTTATGTACGTTTTGCAATGCTCGGTGTTTGTGTCTATCGTCATCCATGATAATGCATGTCTCTGACAAGCCAAAAGCAGCAGCGGTGGCTGCAGTAGTAGACTCTTCGGTCTCCTGATCAGTCGCCGTTCGCTGTGCGGGTTCGAGTCCCGTCCCAGGAGAAATTTTTCTCTTGGCTATGGACGTTGTGATTGTCCGTAGGTGGTAGATGGTCTCTGACTGTCGAACGCGGAGGTAGCACCCGGCGGTTCTCGTAGGCGGAGCCAGAATGTGTGCATGTTGCATGCACACGTGTTCCCTCGCCAGAGTCCGTGTGGCGTCCCCCCTTTCCCATGTACCCCCCTATAGCCCTACGGTACCCAATGGGTGCTTAGGCCATAGGCCTTCGTGGTAGTTGGAGTATAAAAAAAAGGGTTAGGAATTGCGGTCTAACTACAACTTACTAGTATATTCATAAATTATGATCAACTGGCATCCGAGGTCAAGTGGCATACATGTATCGGATGCCATTTGACCAAAGCTTGTTCGGTGACATGATAGTGTAAGTTCGATACTACGCGAGGGTAAGGTGGAATCCACAAACACTGGCAACCAAATAATTGTTTGTAGTTTCATTCATAGGTCAATGTGGTATCTACGGGGTGTTAGGGAAATAATATTCGTAACTTTAAGAGGTTGCATTATTTTAAGCAAAAAAGTTCATTATAACGTATGTCCGAAAATCAATCGTTTCGGAGCAAAAAAATGCTGAGCTTATTTCTTTTTAGTCGTGAAAACAAAATAATTTTGCACCTTAATAATTGAAATTCATATGCCTAAAAGCGGAAAATGTATCAATACATCTATTTATTAATTAACTGTCTCTAATAAAATAATTTTCTTGTTTATTAAATACAATTTTCCGAAGAAAAACAAACAAACAAAATCCCTCACACAACTAGCAACGTCCGCCTGCACTGCATGTATCATCGCGACCGACATCGTGTCGGTAGGCAAAAAATAAATACCTACATCGGGAAAAAATTATTTGATAGTTTCTTGCAAGTAATGTTTACCCGAATTGAAATTTTATTATTCAGTATGTCTGTATCAGTGCGTGCATTTGGATACGAAAGAGATGTTTTCGGTACGCGAGTATCACGATTTGATTATTATTTACGGTGAGGCTCATTGCAATTCTGAAGTGGCTAGGCCCATTTACGAAGAACGTTTTCCCGATCAAAGGCTACCAGCTAGATGCTATAAGAACATTCGTAGAAGTATCCCATAGACTTCTGGACACAGAGAGCGTAGTGCCTAATTTTAACAATCGCGGAAGACATCGTGAAGTGTGAGTGGAAACCGAAGAACATTTATTGTGATTACTATTACATTTAACGGTATTTTTATGTGATTTACGAATGTTTTTTTTTCCTTTTTTCGTGCCTCGCGTTTCATATACGTGACTGATAATCGTGGGAATTGGTGGTGAGTTATCGCCGGGTACCGGTAAGTTCTGTCATTTTTGTAAATGTGCTGTATTGAAATCGCTATTAAATAAGAAACATTAGCCACAAAATATTGCGTAAAAGTATTCAATAATTCAAGACACATTTTCAACAAAAATATACAAACGTAAACAATTCGATGAATCAGTTGCGGTCGTCGTTTTAATTATTTACGAGCCACTTTCCTCGAAAACGATTGATTTTCGGACATAAATTATAATGAACGTTTTTGCTCGGAATAATGCAAGGAATCACCTCTTAAAGTTATGAATAGTATTTCCCTAACACCCTGTATACAGGGTGTAAACGTTATGATATTCATTATTTAAATGGGTTATAGAGGGGGTTAAAAGGAGCAAAAAGTTTCTTATAATATGGGGGTCAAAACGGCATTTTATAGAGAAAAGCGACTTTAAAGTAAAACAAAATCTGACAACGCCGCAATGCCAGACGCAAATTACGACGCAACGCAGTGTAAATAAACATGGAGTTTGTTATTTTAGGCTCTTAGGTATTAAATCATGGTACTCGCAAAATGCAAACGATTAAAAAAACGGACTTACCACTAACTGTCTCAGCGGTTCACCTGGTGTGTGAAAGTTTATAGAACGTATTAAAAAAATCCACTTATAAATACTGAACACAATTTTGATACATACATTGTTTTTCTTTATAAAACCCACACTGCACTTTTTTTGTATTTAAAGAAGGTGTTCAAAATGTCGTCCTCTACTTTCAACACAAGCTTCATTACGACGAACCCAGTTTCTTTTTACTCTAGGTCCTCGAAGTTGTCCATTTATTATTTCAGCCGCATTAAAAATTGTTCGCGAAGTTGTGCTTCAGTTGTTATTGGACCAGCCCCATAAACCATCTCTTTATCTCCCCAATACCAGAAATCCATCGGATTGAGGCCAGGAGATCTTGCTGGCCATTTTCGAGGATCAGGATCATTTCGACCGATCCAGCGATTTGGATAATTCATTCATCAAATACTGAATGACGCCTCTAGAAATGTGTGGTGGTGCCCTGTCATGAAGAAACCACAAATTCTATCTCCGTTGTAATGGCATGTTGTCTAAGGACTGTTCCAAAAGTTCTCGTAGGTTATTGGCTAGAAAGCTAAGGTATCCTTTTCCTGACAACTTTGGGGGTAACTCGAAAGGCCCAATTACCTGATCGTTAAGAATACCCTCAAAAATATTTATTTTAAAACGTTGTTGGAAATGACCTTCACGAATGGTATGAGGATTTTCTTGGGCCCACGTATGAGTATTATGGAAATTTAATATCCCGTCTCGAGTAAAAGTACATTCGTCCGTCTCTAGAATGTTTTTAAAAAAAATCTGGATTTTCAATGTTTTTGTACAAAAACCACTGACAGAATGTTAGTCTGCGAGGATAGTCTTCTGGTAACAAGGCCTGCACCCGTTGTACATGGTAAGGATAAAGCAAATTTTCCCGTAGGATTCTGTGGACTATGGTATGCGATAGTCCTACGCGGCGGCCTAATTCCCGAGTGCTGATATCAGCATTGATTTCCACGATATTTAAAATTTGTTCCTCCTGCTTTACAGTAACCTGTCTTTCACGAGTGCGAATATTAGTGGGCTGAACACTTCCTGTATCTCGAAGTTCTGTCAGGGTGTACCCGTTGGCGAAATCTGTCGCGATAAATTTGAGCTGCAAGATTTGAATTCTGACGAGCTTCACCGTAAACTAACATGTCGGCGAATTCTTGATTCGAGAGCATTGTAAACAAACATGCCGACGTACGCGAACAAAAACAAAACACGCCCGATAACTAACCACTGTTACCGTTTGCGATCGATTGCCGGTTCGATAAGAGTGATGACGATACGCTGTTGTCATGTGTGTTTTAAATATTTAATTTAATGAAATTTACTTACTGACTACAAATTTTGGCTTAACTTAAAAAAACTTAATGCCATTTATTTGTTAATTACCCAATTTAAAAACGTTTTAGATTAGATTCTAAAAATTAGTAAGATTGTGGTGATTGTGGTCGATATAAAGCACTTAAAGTTGTAAACTATGAAGCCATTTAGACAAAAATCTATTGACTTTTGGACCATGGGTCACATGAACCTTTTGACTCCCCTATTACCCATTTCAATATTGACTCCCGCCCCTATTACCCATTTCAATATTGACTACCATAACGTTTGCACTCTGTATACTCGTTGTGAGTACTGCTCACCTGAATTATTCCCAAGCAATATGAAGGATATCGTGTTAGAAAGGCGCCGCATACTGAGTTTATCTCACTCTAGCGAGTTGGAATCAGGTTTTAGAAAAAGGGGTGACACATGAATTGACGTTAAACCACAACTCGTACTTTTGACCTCGTCAAATAAAATGCTCGAAGACAATCTATACTATATTCTATTTCAGGGACCGAAGCTGTGGGTATTTTTTTATAAGGAGGGTTGTGGGCATGGGCAGACTTAGAGGGGCCGCAACGTCAAAAGCTGCTATTCTCTATCATAAAATGGTACAAAATTACCTTGTTAGACCAGAATCGTGAACATGTGCGACCCCCCCCCCTCGACGTATCCCACTACCTGCTCCTTAATTTTCAATCGTCGATACATCCTTGAACATAAATCCTACGACCACCACTGTGCCCCCTCTTAGACAGATTTCAAATCTGCCTCTGACTGTGGGTTGTCATTTTCAAAGTTCTAATTTAATAAATCTCGTGGAAAAATTTAGATTACATAGAAAAACTACGAAAGAGTCGTGTCGATCAAGTAAACACAAAATACTATTTTAAAATAGAGTATGAAGTATTTTTATTTTGACGAGCCGGATGTTACTCGAAAAAGCTTACGGTCACTGGAAGGAAGTTTTCATGAATTTTACCTCTGCCTTCAACCGCCTGTACGGCTCCAGCAATAACTACATTTGTTTTAACTGCAATAGTAAACGCTTAAATTTAAATCTACTGTAAACGGTTGCATACTTGGGGCGATCTTATTGTTGAAAAACAAAATGCTCCATTCGCCTCTCTTACGTTGGTCATTAAATAGAATAATATATGTTGAATATACTAGTTAGTGACGCTTCGGCAACTTCGGCAGCCTCTATCAAAAAGCATGCTGTTTCTAACGCTCTAATGTTGTTGTCAATATGACAACTGTGGATATGAAATTTTTGTTGGCTGTCACAAATTAGTTGATAAATGTGGTACCAATTACCAGCAAGTATAGGATTCAAGTGTCTGGGTTACTAGCGCATTCGCCTACAAGATTTCTTTAGCACATGATTTTTGATATTTAGTAAGCCATCATAGATAGTTAAGAAAATATTATTTTTCGCTAGTCCTGTTTTTAAGGCTAACAGAAATTATTCAATAATCAAAAGAGCTATATTTACCACTAAACAAATTTTAATTTGAGCGCAGGTTCAGCATTTCGAAAATCAACAAGCAACACATTACATTCAAGTCCAAGTACTCGTACTATGCAGATTTAACCTACTTGACACCGTTTGTAAGACCGAATTTCGGTATTTCGTTTTAGAAAGACCCTTATTTAATTGATATGTAGTTTGGTTTTTAGAAATTGAAACAATATTTTCCAAAGGAAGAACATCACAGTATGATTTATCTATATTTTTGCCATCATATTTATATAATTGCAGTAGGTACCTCCAATATCACAGAGATTAATAAATAATTAAAATAAACGAAATTGCCCTTGCTAATACTAACAGGTCTCGAAGAATTCTCACGCGGCCCTACTGCAAATCCTAAAAAAAACCCCTGTATGCGACGTTACAATTATTTTTAACACTCTTCGCGGGCTTTTCAGGAGTGTTATTTTCAGTGTTTTCAAAACGCTGCACCTGGAAAAGCCTCTGTTTCCGGTAATGCTTTCCACCTGTTAGACAACCGTCACACATATACCATGTGACGTCTCGATTCGCCCAAATTTTTTTGAATAATCTTACCTATCCTTTTTTTTAATCTGCAAATCCAGAAGTAAGGTGTGGGAACTATAGAATTATTTTATTGGACTCCATGTTTTCAACAAAAATACTGTATACTTTTATTAACTAAACCATAATGAAAAATATTGATTACATATTTACAAAGTTTTCTTGATAGGTTTTGGTGCAACACTAACCTTGACAGGTTTGCACAAGTCTAGCAATGTTGGAGAAGAATCAGCTACAGTTTTTCTTTTGCCAATATCAGCTTCAGGTATGGCCAAGGCAATGTTAATGTCAACATCACATGCCTCAGACCACACTTGATGCGAAATCAGTACGGAGGTTAACAGCCGAATGTTGTGTCCAATTTGTGATTCTGCGACAAAAACGAAAAAATACATGACATTTGGCTATATAAATCACTAGACTAAACCCGCAGCTTCGCTCTCGAGGAAACAAGGTGTCCAGTGGGAAAGTTTACTTTTTGATTGAAGAAAAAAGTACAAACTTAATTGAAGGAAACTATTCATTACTATCAACATAATCGTAAATTCGGCGGGTTTCATTTCTTAAATATCATTCTGTCCAAATGTTTGCAATCCCTTCGGACACTCTTCGAATCGCGCGCGCAAATCCTGAAACACTCTCTTGCAGAGTTCCGGAGTGATGTTGTTTATTTCTCGTCGAATGTTGTCTTTAAGCTCCTCCAGTGTTCGTGGATTATTGGAATACACTTTTGACTTTAAAAAAAAAAATAATCGCATGGCCTGAGGTCGGGTGACCTAGGAGGCCAGTGAATGTCTCCAAACTTCAATATAACTTTTTGAGGAAAAAGTTCTTTCACCGCGGCCATCAATTCTCTGGAAGTATGGGCAGTGGTCTCAACCTGCTGAAACCATGTGTTTTTGTTACATCGACGTTCTCTTCTTACAATAGGAGCAAAAAAGTGTCAATCATGTGGTTGTATCGCTCGGAATTGACTGTCAATGCATGATCGTTTTCATCTTCAAAGAAATACGGCCCAATAATACCACTAGAGGATATGGCGCGCCAAACAGCAACCTTTGGACTATGTAGCTGTTGTCTCTCTTTTGGGTTCGTTGGTGCCCAATATCTGCAATTTTCTCGAGATTTTCGTAATACACTTTTTCAATACGTTCTTACTTGGGGCATCTCGAATCTTGTATCGTGTACCAAATTTGCGGAGGACAGCTGCGTATGAATCACCACTCTTAAAGTAAGCCTCGATAACAAAAGCACGTTGCGCTCCCATCCAACGTTCCATTGTGACTATTTAACCCGCCCGCCGAACGCGTCTATCAAGACCTCCCCCACTTCCTCGCGTATACGATTGCCGCGTAATTCAAATCTGAAATGTGAACTTTCCGACTGGACACCCTGTAGTATAAGGTATAGGTCGTTTTGCATTAGTGTGAAGGAGATTGGTTTCGGAGAAAGGAATACAATATCCCAAGTAATGCAATATTTTTTCCAACATTGTAATGCAACAATAAATTAATTTCAATTTTTCGCTTTCTAATATTCTCGACAAACGGTAAGGATGAAAATTACCTTGAAGATCATGACCACGTTCACTTGCAAAGATATACTTGAACTTATTATTGTCCGCAATTTGCATGTCAGGAATCAAAAATAGATGTTTCCAGTTAAAAATCAACGTTTTCCCAATTACTTTGATGATCATAGTCACGGTCATGGATATACTTGAAAATAAAGATTCTTACTCTGTTTATTTCCAGTATTAAAACCAGTGCTTTCACGTACAACTTTATTACACAACATTTCTTTTTATGAGACGTACTTTTCTTGACATTTTGATGTATGCATACTTTTGAACATATACTATATATTTTGCACATGAAACCATGCCTATATAGCCTTCAGGTTTCAATTAGTAAGTCTATAAATTTTTACGACTTTGCGTTTTGTGTTTCTAGCGTGATGCTAACACACTGGACAGACATTCACATTTATTTATAGATCATGGGCAAAGATATACTGCAACTTAAAATGTCCCGCTCTTTACATTTCCGGTGTCAAAATAGGAGTTTCATTTAAGAAAATCGCCTTGACCTTCAAATGACCTTGAAGATCATTTTCAATGATACGTTCAAAATCGCCATTAGATTAATCTTCTCAAACATCACAACGTTGTTCTACATTTTTTCTTAAGGAAAACTATTTTTTCGAGATAATTTGATGCATCCATACTTTTTGAACACCTTGTATATGTTCGCAGATGTATATTTATAACCTTCCTCAGGTTTCAATTAGTAAGTGTAAAAATTTTTACGTCTCTCCGTATTGTGGTTCAGGTGGACAGACATTCACATTTATATATAGTCCAAAAACATCAAAAAAATCGAACATGAACGTTTACGAATGCAGAATTTTCTTATTGCCAAAACTCTCTAATAACTTGAAAAAATGGGATAAAAAGTAATAAAAACAGCATTTGTGATTGTTAAATTTTAAATAGTGGTTATCGCTAAACAGATTTTCATTAGAAAAAGAAAAATCGGCCTTTATAGCATATTCAATGTTATATTAATTTTTTCCGTTTCATAGTTCTAATCGCACCGAAAAAAATATATAACGATCCCTCACCTTTGTCCGTGTCATCATAACTCAAAGGTTTCAAGTGCGCTGGTCTCGGCAAAATGATCTGCGTTTTTTGATCAGGATACTTAATTTTCAGTCTTATTCTGGCTGGGTCGATCAAATGCCTGAGCTCAGCTTCGAATGGAACTGACATGATGAGACCAGCAGTGAACTTCAAAGATGTGTCTGTTTGGCCACTTGGTTCTAAGATCGTCGCAGAACTCATCCTTATCTGAAAAAAAAATGGCGTAAAGTAGGTTGACTATGTAAGTAACTCTAGACAAATGGACTTTGTATACCGGGTTTCAAATAGGGCCATTGGGATCTCGGAAAGAGACACAAGTCACTTAATTGGGGGGCAAAGTTGCGTTTCTAGGTAACTCAAAAATTGCGCTTAGAAAGCTTCGAAGCTCAAAGTACTTCCCGAGAGAGACGGAAAGAACCGAATCTTCCCAAAGTCGATATTATTTTTTTCTGGCTTTATTTGTAGTGGAGTTTCGAAATAAATTGCTCATTCTCATTGCCACATTTTCTCCTCTACAAGATGACATAATTAGAATTTCAATATAACGTGTCGTCTCTTCAGCATCAACTTTATTTTTTCTTAAGTGCGCAGTGCGCCATATTGGATTTTTGCAAAAGCGAATATACTTAATTGTGATTCCAAAAATGAATATTTTTTATAATGACATTGCCAAACCTTATTTATTATTATTTATTCAATAAAGTACAACATTTTAAGCATGCCCCATGCAAAGATATGGAGGAGGAACAAAACCATCGCACACACCTAAATATCTTATTGCAAAAAAACGCCCAACATCTACTGTGTAAATCATAAACGTAACATTATAAAAGGAGTTTTCAAATACTTACATTGATATTTGGCCGCGGTACCTTCCCAAGCTTAGCTTCGGATAGAATTGGTATTAAAATCCTCGAAACAGCTCCAGGTTTTGGTTCTTCCAGCTGAGCCAGTTCAGAAAAAACAAGTGCCGTGAAGTGATCGGGTTCTAAATTTGCTGAACTAAGTTCTTTCTGCATATCTTCAACTACTGTCAGAAAATGGTGACACGGGGCGAGAGCTGATGCATTGCTTCCTACAAAAAAATACGGATGGTTCATATTTTAAAACAAGTTTTACTCCAGCAAGTTGTTTGGAAAAAATAATTTCAAATAATGTGGTTCAATGGTTTCTGGAATAACGGAAATTCCTAGTGCAGCTACTCAGGAAAATGTGTGTAAGAGGTTCCTCAATATGCTTGTTAAACAGTACAAAATGCTGTTTTCATGGATCATTTTGTGTTCTTTGCCTACGAACTTTGGGCCCCAGAGATCATACCTCCGCCTCTGTAGTTTTCATAAAAAATTATGTGTTCAGATAAAAATTGTAGAGTTTTCTTGAAGTGCTGTATCTCAGTAACAAATTGTCCTATAGAGGCTTTGAAGCTTCAATTGTCCAGCTTTTGGATCTTTCAGTCAAAAAAGCTGTAGACGCCACACAGTCCTAGGAAAAAATATGAAGAAAAAATGTTGGAATACTTTTATTTAGATCCACGGACTTGGAACATTATTTTCCGCTAAGCGATAGCATGGATTCAATAGACTGTTTATTTAGCTCCATTTCCCTTTTTTAAAACCTGGATACAAGTGTTTAATGCAAAAAAAATCCTTTTGGCAACGATTGATATATCATTCTACAGAAAATCTAAGGTGGTATAAAATGATGGAATGGGTCCTCTAACCGCGTCAATGACCATTTATGGATTTTTTCATCATTCATATGTGCCGGAAAAAAATTGGAAAAAATGGATTATTTTTTTGGAAACCAAGTGTTAAATTTCAAATATTGACAAAATGGCTAATACTGAGCGTGACTTCTGCACCTCCATATACCCAAAATAACCCTGTATAATTTCACTTTGATTTACTTAGGCAATTTTTTTGTTTTGAATAGTCAAACAAGAAAAAATCAAGGGTCACGTTTATTGTCGGTAAAAGCTTTAAAATCGGAAATGGTTTTTTGAGATTTTTACACATTTTCTACCAAAAACCTTAAAATTTGTTTAAAAAAATCTTTTCCAAATATTTTAACGTGATGAAGCATGAAATAATTTTCCATTAAAGACCAATACCGCTTTTAGAGAATCCTTTCCAGCTTCTGTACGCTAATTGGTTTCTGAGATATCGACGATCAAAGCCAAAAGGGTCCTTTTCATTAAAAATTCGATATCTCGAAAGAAATGGTCGTCTACGTGCATTAATAGAAAAAGTAAAAAATTACCATTCGTTGTTCTTCACGTTATTTTCTAGGAATCCGTGGAACCAGCAGCTTCTAAAACTAGACATTTGAAGCTTTAAAATGCTCGTTTTAGAACCTTAATACGACCATTATTTACAGAACTTCAAACAATGACAAAAAAAATGTATTCTTTATTTTTTCCACTAATGCTGAAGCTACAGAAAAAGTGAACAATGCTACCTTTTCACATAATCCAGCTTAAAAACAGAGTACCCATAATTACCTTTGACAATGTACACCAAATTAACCGCCAAAGCCCTTAGCCTAAACTGTTTAACAGCACACTGCTCCACGGGGCTTAAACCAACAAAAAAGAACTGTAATTGCAAACACAATTGCAACAGATGTTCGATGCTAGTTTTCAGATGATTGGCCTGTTGAGTGGCTAGAGCTCCAGGATTGGCCCAAAAACCACGCTCCAAGATTTGGGAAATTTCTAACTGTGCTGCAATGTACAGGGCGGTGAAACGAGCTGTGCCCGCTACTGTGGAATCCATTTCGCTGAGACGTTGAAGGTGTTCTTTGGCAGTTTGCAACAGTGTTGTATGGACCCTGAAAAGAAATTTGTTTTATTTTTAATACATGGACTGTAACGAAAGACTGCACCATTTTCCACGATAGTTCAAGAGGCTAAATAACTACAAATGACAGCCGACCATTTGAGGTGTTACTTGCGTTTAGTCACAAAATTCATAGAAATGTCTCGAATTTTTAAGTGTCCAAGGTATATACAAAATCCAAGCCAGAAAGAAATGTGTCATTCTGCATTTCAAGTTTACAATTACAACCCAATTACTCGATTTACAACTTTCTTTTGAGACATCAATTACTGAGATTCAGCAATGTACAGGTCTCAAAATAAAATATTGATCAATAGGAACACATGATCTGATGAGTTTTAGAAATATTTAGCACGAATCCTAATTAATCAACAGTTTCTGTCGTATTCTGGTGGGGTCTGATTTTACAGTTAATATGCGTATTACCTGTTGCTGTTTGAACGACGATTCCACAAACGTTGAACTAGAAACATCTGACATTCAAAACATCCTGCAAGATCAAGTGACAGATGCATAACTCTCACTGCTTCATACTTCCTAGCAACTACGACGTTTCGTATGAATTTTTTTGCACAAAGCAGTTAGAAATGAATCAATACAGCTGCCAATGACCATGATTAAATTTCAACTAAGAATGAAATAGATTTAAGTCAATATTTGGTGAAAACTGTTCTGGAACGCTATTGATTGTCAGAAGATTTATTATTCCCAACAATACAAGGTGGCAATCAAATAAATGTCAAATTATGGTGGTGCATAATGCAGCTTTCTAAATTTTAACTAGTTATGTCAAAAATATTTTTCCAGATGTAACAACCAAATTACCATACCTAAGAGGACTTTCAGCAATATCCAAGTTACTAATGACATTATCCAAGAACTTTAAACTCTCTGGAACCGACATCGGCCTTGGAATAGTATTGTAGTTCAAATCGGGAAGGTTCAATACCGGCACGTACTGAGTCATAGTGTCTCTAAGGTACAGATAATGCCGCAACGTATGTGGTTCTAGCAATGGTAGAATCGTTAGACTATGCTGAGCAGCGTTGAATATCAGAATTAGAAGACAAATATCTGTCGTGTTGGTTAAGAAAAATATTAATTTTAAATTCAACCTTGAGTAATTGCACTCAAAAAAATAACGCAACACCACAGAAAAGGATACATTGAGGATTTTCAACATCTGGCTCAGCTGTATCAAAAAACGGATGTATATTCAGGAATTGCGGCACCAAATGCCACACTAATTCTGGATGTTGCGATCCAACTCTTTGCAGACATCTGAATGTCGATCTTTTATCTTGAGGATACCTTTTCAGGTTGTCCAATAGTTTCTCCACGCACATTTTCAGTCCTTCAGATGTTGACATCCTGCAGGATGCCAGCATTCTGTGAAGGCCTTCTCTTATTTCTTGTGAAAAATCTTCCAATGCGCCTAAAAATAACGTTGGTTAAATCACTGTGAACCATTCTTAAATAATGTACTGGGTGTTCCGAACATTTTTCCTAAAAATGCTAGAAGAAAGTATTGATTAAAGAAGTCAAGATTTCTACAATTATGCCTCTCGAATATATCGCAAAAGCGTTCTTACAAACAGAGGCGTTTAAAGCAAGTTCACTATTTTAGGGTATATAGAAAAGAGTACAGTGGACCTCCGGTAATCCGACAAACATTATGCAGATCAGTGTCGGACTATCGAATTTGTCGGATTATAGAGCACTGCCTAAGATATTCCGGAATTTTTTACAAAAGAGTACCTTGTAATCCGACAAATTACATATCCAATGGTAAGATTATGTATACATATATGTTATGTATATGTATCTACTTTGAAGTACAAATCATACATAGTTTATGTATGTCGAATTTAATAAATTAAATAACAATAGAGAGCTTACGTTTTATTATAAAATTAAGCATAAATGCACATACATATGTACCAAAATAATCAAGAATTATTAATCAAAATCATTAACGAATTTATCAAATTATGAAGCTTGGAAATATTCATCAACTTTTTTTTGTTTAATGTTGTTATAACGCGAGATCAGAGCTTTGTCCCTCAGTCTTCTCAAAAGTAAAAGTTCGTTGTAGGATGTACCATTCTCTTCAGCCAATTGTAATCCTAGCTCAAAGGCGTTAATTGCGTATTGCGCTGTGACTTGTGGAGCAGTTGCAATCACGTCATCGTTATTTTCCTGATTGTTTGTTGTATAATTAGAAACCTCTTTTATAATCTCTTCGTCAGACATTACATGAAAAACATTTTCCTCTTTATCCATTGCACGGCACCAGATTTCCAAATCTTCCGGACTTATCTGTGTTTCAGTAGCGACTTGTTCTACAGGGTGACTTTGAAGTTGAGTCATTAATTTTCAGATAATGATTGTAGAAGGAAGATAAACCAAAATATGTGTGTAAAAATAAAAAAAAAATGTTACCTTGTTTAATAAAGTATCCTCCCGACAAGTATTTCAGTGCGGACCTGTATTTGATCGTGCGGTCTTGGAGCACCGGCATGCTCTCACCTGTGAGGTCTTAAGTCACCTGATTCACGAGCCCTTTGTACTACATTAACAAAGGCACGAGGGATTGGTTGCACTCGATTGGGAAACCGATTCGCATAAATCCGTGATGCATCCGGCAGCATTTTGTAAAGACTGCCCCCCCGTAAATAAGAATCATGTCCACAAGTTCAGCATTTTCGTAAACATGTGCCATTTTTCATTTCGTTTGAGTCACGCAACAAACATCACTATTCACCCACGCGTTACCGACTGACGAAAAACAACGTGATAAACGTTTCAAATTCTTTCGCTTTTTTGTTTCCGATGCGATGAACCGATATCCGTTGTTGCCAAACACATAATATTATTATTGAGACAGGGCGGTACTCAAACTTCTAAAGGGCTATAACTTTGTTACTTTAATTTTACCAGAAAAATGTTAAAGGAAAAAAACATTTCTTTTGATGAGATCTTCTCACTGTTAAAATAAATGACTCAACTTCGAAGTCACCCTGTATAATTTCCGAAGTAACACTGATTTGTGGAACGTTGCTAGGAATGGTGATTATATCTGGCCATAACAGGTTTCCAAGACGATTTAATAGTTGATGACGGTAACGCATTCCACGACTGACAAAGAGCAAAAACCAAGTCATTCATATTAAATTCTTTTAAAGTTTTTTCTATAGGTTGGTCTTTTGATACGGCTCTCAGAAGTAGGTTTTTCTTATAGTCTTGCTTGACAAACTGAATGATATTCTGCAGTGCAATTTGGCGGAAGAAACATCGCAGTTATGCATTTATCCTCAGTTGTTAGTTCTTCTTCAGACAGATGACCGGGAGCATTATCAAGAAGCAACAACGCTTTTTGAAGAAAATTATGATCTTTTAACCATTTTCTAACTAAAGGTACGAAGCATTCATCAAACCACTTTCTGATAGGTATTTTGTCATCCATGCACTTTTTTGTCCATAATAGTGTACAGGTAAATCAATGTTTTTGAATGCCCGTGGTTTATTAGATTTCGCAATGACCATCATCTTAAGCACGTGTGTGCCCGCAGCGTTAGCACATGGTAGTATGGTTACACGCTCTTTACCTACTTTTCGTCCAGGTACGGATTTTTCGTTACAAGAAACGAAAGTTTTGTTAGGTATCACACGCCAAAAAAGCCCCGAGTCGCCTGCATTGTACACCTGTGACGGGTCAAGATTTAAATCGTTCACCTTTTGCAACAATCTTAATTTAAAGGGCTCTATGCAGGTGGCATCGTTAGAAAGTTTCTCTCCTGTAATAGTCATTAAACGTATGCCATGACGACTTTTAAAACGTTCTAGCCATCCTTTGCTGGCCACAAAATCATCTTTTTTTTGTTATTTCCTTATAAAAAAACTTAGCTTTCATGGCCAACATTGGTCCTGAAATTGGTGCATGCCTATTTCTTTCCTGAAGAAACCACATGTACAAAGCTTCATCCACTTCTGGATGTTCAGCTTTCTTCAGTGTCTGTCTCTTGCCTGGCCCGCAGTCAGTAGTTTCTTTTAATGTCATAAATTGTAGATCGGCCCACGCCGTATTCACTTGCTAAACTAATGAAAGTTTCATTGCGATTTAAGCGGTCTAAAATAACACATTTTTCTTTAATTGTCAATGTTTTGTGCTTTCGCTTCGGAGTTTGTGATGACATTACTAGGTACTATACTTAATACACAATGAATAAATAGTAAACAATGAACGCACGCTAGGCCGTACCGCTATCACCAGTAGTCAAATTCAAACTAAGTAAAACAATGCTTACGCGTCGAGCACGATAGCGGTGGCGCATCCAAGTTGTAACCTGTTCAAACCTGCGTGATCTACATTAGCGAAGATTGTCAAATACATATGTATGTAATACATAAGTGATGTTATAATCATACAATCGATAGCAAGATGTATTTGAGCTAGAAATATTACAGATTACAAACTTATGCTCAGGCCACGAAAAGTCCATATTTGTGTTACGCTCGGTGTGAGCATTTACCGTCCGACCATCGTGGTTTTCTGAATAAATAATAGTGAATATTCATAGTATGCTTGTACAATTCTGAAGCGTTTCTCCATCGTAAAACAATGCATATTTAAATTCCCGGGGTATAACGTATCTAAGTAATTGAAAAATGTGTGCTAGATTTGAATACACCTCGACTTCTACAGGAAGCTTAAAAACATCATGTTAGTTCGATTTTTGAACTGGGTAAGGTTAGCAAAACTAAGAAAAGCCACCTCAAATTGTTTCAAAATCTTGACACCCTAGGAACAAAGGAGCGTTCATAACGGCCAGTTCTGGTTATACGAAGTTCAATACGCGGCGTCATCATGAAAAATAGCTCTAAGGAGCAAAGCCCACTGACATAGCGGGATGAGAGCAAGGCCGTACTCAATGCGTCGATGCAAAACAATCCCGAGACCGTCCGTTAGAGAAGTGTCATCGTGAAATATGAGAATAGAACTCAAGGCTGGGTTTACCTGGACCTTGCACAGAACGAGGTCATGTGGAGAAAAAACTATTTCAAAATCAATCAATTTTTACAAAAACAGTTTAACACCAACCAAACCCCTTCAAGTACTACTTACCTAGTATTGTTTCCAACTGATCGTCCCGAAGTATAATGTGCTCTGAAATCATCCTCAAACTATCAATAGCCTTCAGTCGTACATCCTCGATTTCATCATTAAACATGTCCACCAGAAAGTCTAATGCCATTTCAGCAAAAAAGGGATTGCATATTGATAGCTGACATAGAGACTCTACAGCTGCTGATCGTACCTCTGAAAAAAGAGTAAACATTCTATTTCACGACTTCCATCCGCAAAAAGGAAAAATGAGGTCAAGTAGATTGACGCCGGACTTCCAACAAGTAGATAAATAAATTCAACATTCTAGCTACAAAAACATTCTATGGGTTATTAGTGACAAAAGAAGTGCAAGAAATGCCTGATTTCAAAATGTATGTGACAATAAAAATGTTTTCACACTTAACATTAAAAACAAAATATGATTAAAATGGAAAAATGAGAACTTATTAAATTATAAATTATAACCCCCCATGCTTGTCTGGAGGGGAAGCACAGCAGATTTTTCCACTGACTTTCAGGTTCTAGGGCCTCAGGCCAATGTATTCTTACCTAAAAATTCATCTTCTAATCCATGCACAAATGCTCCACAAGCACCACTGCTCATAAGATTAATGCTTTCCGCATCAAGAAGTTCTTTAGGAGCATCATCTGCCCATTTTTTTCCACTGGCCCATTCACCACTGGTTATGTTTTCCCAGGCAAGTTCATGTGCTGTTCTCTGCGAAAAGAATATATATAATACCACTTTAGAAGCGAGGATCCATACAAACCTTTCTTCTCATATTTGACATAAGCTTTTTATCCAAAGTTTGACTGAGAAACTTGGGACTGACTAACTTCATACCACCTAGAAGTTTTGCGGCTAGCATTCTCACATTCATTGACAGATCTGTCACAGCATTACAGACTTTTCCAAATGCGTCATCTACCAGTCTTATTTGATGATCACTACCAGTGACTAATATTACGCTTGAATAGAAAAAATTTGAGTCATTCACTACTTCTAGTTATTTGCAACATGCTACTGAATATCATAGTCCACCAGAAGATATTTAATTAAATTGTCTATGCCATCAACCGCTCATGCTTACAATAGACGAGTCGACCACCGTCTTTTTGCGGTAGCACTGCCACCTCTTGGACTGCTGCCATAGGTTTTCCTTTTACATTGTTGGAATTTATGAAAAAGGTGATCTTTTTTTGGAATGTTGATGTGATGTTTAAAATAATTTTTTTTAGATGAGAATCGAACCTGTTTATAGTACTACTTACAAAGGAGTCACTGCGATTCTACTTGGCAACATTGCTGTGACAAAATTGTATATGAACATATAAACACAGCATAGGGTTGGATATCTTGTTACAGAATAGTCAAACAATGCTTAGATCCAGCATACTTGACATGCATTATTCAATTCATCAAGAAATATAGGAAATTTTGTATGTATATGTATAGTAGGTACTGATTCTTTGATAAGGTACTAGTACTCACTTTTCAGGATAACTATTGCCCAAAATATATATAAGTTGCAATACAACATGTCTGACAATCTCATAATCATCTTTAAGGGCTTCACATACATCTACATAAATGTTTGGATTGATTTTAAAGCCTCTTTCATGAAGTGTCACTACTGTAGAAAAGGCTTGACTTCTGACTCTTGCATCGTCATGGTTGAAGAAAGAACTTACAAGGTGGATCACTTTCTCCACATCTTCACCTAAAAATGAAGTGGAATTCAATTTTGCCAACACATACTTATTTTTAGATTTCAAAAGTGAGAAATGTTACACAACATGTACATCAAGCAAAACCCTGTGGCTTATTACCATCAGCCTGTCTGTCTGTCTACTGTAATCCTCCACCCATCTATAACTCTATTGCAACACAGAATTACTACTATGCTAAGGATGAAAAAGCTATATAGGTTTTGTAAATTGATTCAGACATGGTGGAGCTACTTTTTAGGATGGATAAGTTCCTGGTAGTTATCTGGTTTTCAATCCAAACTGTCATCATATTTTTTGTATATCTTGATGATTTCATCAAATAACTTACCCATTAAAATAACTTATGTTCTGTAGAATATTTCTACAAGTATAATATGCACATCCTATAGAAGGAATGAAATCATAAAATACAGACATAAATCTTGGGAAGGAAATTTAGTTTTCTTTTCTACAATTTCAGCACAGCCTGTGTATACCAGATTTAACAAAAATATTTTTTTTATTTTTAACTTTTTCGTATCTTACAGTTTCCCAGGTCCCAGTAGTGAGAGGTGAATTTGAAGAATGCAGAATAAATAAATAAAATAGTAACGTACCTAAAGGTGTATGTGCCCCAATTATCTCTAAGCATTTCCTCTTGACACTGTGACTAACATCTTTCAAATATATCTTAGCCACTTCTACCAGCTTCTGATGAAACACAACAACTGTATCATTCACCAAATTACCAAGCTTCAATATAGTGTTCATTCCTTGAGCAATAACTTTATGGGATTTGTCATTCCTCAGCAACATGATAGTCTCATCTATGATAGATCCAACATCACTGTTATGTTTGTGCCCTATTTCACACATCAAAGAAAGGATTTTAACCCTCACTGCCGACTCTGATTCGTTCTTGAAATGGTCAGTGAGTTTTTTTATAGTATCTTGGACCTCTGCTGCATCCAAATCCAGATCTGATACAAGCAACAGTAGCTTCAATGCTTCCTGAGAGGTTTTGCATTCCTCGAGATGGTTAATGAGTGTTATTGCAGAATTTGAAAAGGTTGGGGTTGATTTTTTCACTAGGCGTAATTTTTTTATGGGTAAATGAGATGTGGATGGTTCCTAAAATATACATATATATTTTTTTATTATTTATCTTCGAAGTAGGCATGTAGCTTTTTACCTGGATAGTTTGACTGTACTCAGCGAGTGCTCTTTTTTTCAACAAAGCAGCCATACTAAGGTTATAGAATAGAAGAGGGCCCGAGTAAAGATAACATGTCCACCCAAGACAACTATTGAAATTTGAAATATAATACTCTACTAGACTCTAGAAGACTATCCCTAGCGAATTTATTTTCGAAATCGTTGCACACTCCTTGAAAAATGCAAATGTATTGAAAGTTGGATTGGATTGGAAGACTGCCGCATTGACATACTAAATGCTCCGTCGTAACCCCGGAATAGACATTTTAATATGATCTTGTCACCTAGATTGCGCCGTTGCCAGCTCATCAAACAATTTTGCTAGAATGTTGTAAAAAAAGAAGCTTTGGATAAAATATTGAGGGATACCAATGGAGATACCTACATAAAATTTGAGGCGTAGCAATGTTTGCCAAAAAACTAAAAAAGCTGTTATTTACATTTTGCGTTGCCTGGCGTCTATGCGGCGGAACGTTAATTGTTCTGAACACTTTTATAAATGTTTTATAGGAAATGAATATAAACAATTGAAAATAAAACAATTTTTTCTTATATAAATATATTTATTAACTATTTGACCTAAAATTACATGATCATTAATAGGATTAGTACGATTTTCATTTTCTCTACTCTTTATTAGGGGAATATGGTTTTTAAGTGACTGCATTCGCACTTGGGCGAGGAAAACCCCTAGAAAACATCAACCGCCACTGCTAAGATTATTTGTATCAGGTGAAGAAAAATTAAGTCGTCCCACAATTCTGGCTTCATCTGTAAAATCGAAAATCGCCAGCATGCTACAGTTACTAACCTAAAAAAGTAGCATTGAAGTTAAACGGCTTATACGAGAGTCATTTTTTAAGTAAGAACCGTTTTGTAATCCAATCAGAGAAATTTTATTAATGAATGTAAAATGTATCGCAAACTAAAATCTGAACCTTGTTCTATTTTTCAACTTAGCTACCATCCTATAAAATATGCTCAGAGACCTTAACGTTCCACCGCATAGACGCCATGCGACTCAAAATATAAATAACAGCTTTTGTTTAGTATTTTGGCAAACATTCCTACGCCTTAAGTTTTATATATCTCCATTGGTATTCCTCAATATTTTATTCAAAACTTCTTTTTTTCTATAACATTCTATCAAAATAGCAAAGGTAGCAAAATCGTCCGATGATCTGGCAATCCCGCAATGCAGGTGGCAAGAATGACAAGGTTATCTGTCAAGACGGATGTCTATCCCGGGGTCCCGACAACTTTATTTAGAACGTCAAAGCGGTAATTTTCCAATTTTCATTTGCATTTTCTAAGTGTTGTGCAACGATTTCGGCAAAAGTTTCGCTACGGATAGTCTTCTAGGGCTAGTAGAATACATTTCAATAGTTGTCTTGCGTGGCCATGTTATCTTTACTCCGACCTACAATAGTCTACGCCAATTGCTGTAATGATTCCTAAAATGTCTAAAAATTTTTAAATATCTAAAATCACGGGATGAAATGTAAAATGTGTTTTGATTCATGAACATGTTTTGTAAACATTTGAAATCGAATTGACGTTTGACAGCATGACAGCATTGATATAATTCAAGGGTTACCTCCTTCTTACCCTGAATTCCGAAACTTCAAGCGTACTCGATGTATACTCGTAGACACTTAAACAATGTTGCCAGATTAGCGAAAAATTTTAGGTTTTAGATATTAAGGAAATCAATGCCAACAATAGGAATACGGCAGTTAGTGTGTAGAATCTAATATTAGTTTCCTGCATTGAACATTCCGATAAAAATGAAATCACGGCGACATCGTCTTATAGTTTATTTGACGTGAGCGAAAAGGTTAGGCACTGCTACTAAACCGCATTATGCAGCGCCATAAAAATCAAAAGTGCTATAGCTCATTCCCGATCTTACGAGACAAACAGCTAATAACATTTTTCAATAATATTTAGTTATGTCATATTATATTCGAAAATCCAAATCTTAAGAAGTAGTCCATCCCGTATTCCATCTTTACGTATAACGCCAACCAATGGCGCTCAGAGGATTTTCGACGAGAGATATAGCTTTTCGTGAAAATGTGTACCTGTCCCAAAAACTGTTTGAAAAGCAGGGGGCGGGTAGCAAATTATCCCGAAAGGGAAGGCAAATTCTAAAAAAATTCCAAAATCATACCCAAGATGATACTGAATATGCAATGCAATATGAGGTCCAATTCCATATTCCATTTAAGGGTGAGTAGGTAGACAGATTAATGTATGGCCAGAGGTGGAGGGGAGGTGGATTGTCCTCAAGTCTCACAAGCGAGATTTGTCACACAAAGATGTCGCAAGCTTTTAGCAAATTGAAGTTCTCGTGTCGACACAAGTGTCGCATACGAAACATTGTGACACTGGAACCTTATTTTTGTGATTCTTGTCATTTGTTTGTCATGATGTTGTCACCTTTCTAAATCTAAAGGATTTTAGAACGGGCGTTGGAAAAAACGTATTCATTAATAAAGAAAACAAAATATTCCAAGTAAACTGTTACAATATTCCGTGGAAATAGAAGTACCACGTATTTTTAGACTCAAAAGTCGATTGCACATTTTTAACTCTAAGTAAGAGTGCTTCTTTTGTCCGTAAGAGGGCGTCAAAGTTTTTTTAAACACATTTTTACTTCCCACGTCTACTGGCGGCGATGTAAATTGTAATCGTCAACATTTTCAAAAATGGGATAAGTTTTTTTATTATTATATGACATGTACAACACGAAAAACCATGTCACTCATTTCCGTCGGTTTGTCTGTCTGTCGGTCTATACGCTAATCTTATAACAGCCTATAAATTGAGAAGTGTTCGAGAAGGGTGAAAACTACCCCCACCCCTACATGTATTATAGCAGATTTTCTTGGAAACTTTTTTATTTAACAGATCCTTTTGTTTACTTCATTTTCGTCTCTTATAAATACAGGCGAACTCGGATAGCTTTTGAGAAAGAAAAATGAGTTGCATTAAGAGGTTCCCAAGCGTCTTATTAATTCCTTGAGTGTAGATAGCAGAAATAAACAAGTATGATATTGCTTACTAGAATTTCATTTAATACAGGCAATAGAACGAATCTTTCAAAAATAGTGTTCAATATAACCACCATTTTTTTTAACATAACAATACGGCTCAAAAACTTATAGTTAACTTTCTCTAAGAAGTCATTATTCGTTATTGTATTTGCAGCATTTTAAATCTTATCCCATAGTTGATGGCGTTGTCTATCTGAACCTCGTATACCTTTGTTTTGCTTGCTTCTTATAAATAGCAAAAAAACGCAAGGATAAAAATACGGGGAACGAGGTGGCCATTGGACGGGAACTTCCTGGCGTCTTTTAATGACTCTATCATCAAATTTCTCGTAGAAGTAATTTCTTACTGCACGCGCAAAAAGAGGTGGAGCACCATCATGCATTAAAAACATGCCACTTCTTACATTCAGAAGCAGTTCTAATAATCCAGGTATTGATAGCTACCTTCGATTAATGTACCTGGCAACATAATATGGACCAGCTAAAAAATTAACAATAATCTCCACTCGAGGGTAAATTTTAAATTCTCACTGTACATGTTTTTCTGAAACTGCTTGAGGATTTTCTTCAGCGTTGACGTGTATATTATGCAAATTTATCATACCAGGTGGGCTAAAGCATGACTTATCTGTGAACCAAATTTTCTTCTGAAATGACCAGCTGCTCTTCGTTCTGATACATTATGCACAAATCTCAAACGTGACACGATCAGTAGGCAATAATACCTGGACAGGCTAAACGTGAAAAGGACGAATGAGTTGATCATTTAAATTCGGATTGACAATGCTTTTTTGAACTTTTTGTGTTGATATCTGGATCTTCTTGGACGACTTCAACAACAGCTTCTTCCACTAGCGGTGTTCGGGTTTGCCGCGGTTTCCCAGCGATTCGTCAATTCGGATTTATCTCTTGATACACGCAAATGCTTTATCCGCAATTACCTTAGCAGAAACCAAGTACTAACAACATATCAGTCTGTTCGTCAAAAAAATATTTCATATTCAGGAGAAAAACAAGCAACAACAACAGATTGACCAAAAATAATCACTAACGTTAATTAATTTAAAATTTATGAAGAACAAACAACAAATTAGCAATCAAAAATAAACTCAAACATTACTTAATAATAAAATTTATGAAGCTTATTATCAAAAATAATCTGACACTGACATAACATCTCACTCTTCCGCGAACTATATAGATGCCTGTAAATTTTAACACTTGATGTAATCAGAAAATTTTTTAGAATCCATTTCTGAAAGGTATTTTTTCTCAAAAACTACGCGAGATGGACTATTTTTATAAAAGACACAAATGGGTGAGGGTAGTTTTCACCCTTCTCGAACCCTTAGTTTTTTTTTGTAAAAGTCAAATATTAGGACGTCTAGCAACACACATGTGTTCCAAATTTCATTCAAATCGGACATCGGTTCCAAGAATATCTGACAAATAGTGTGTCAAAAGGAAAACTTTAACGCGCTCTTACCGACAAACGAAGCACTTTGGCGTAGAGGTAAATCATGTCCATTCAACTTATTTTAAGTTTAAAAATTCGTGGTACTTCTATTTTCACGGAATAGTGGGACACCCTGTATAATAGACCTCAATCCTCAACATTGCTCCAGAATGCTGTTTACTGCGAGTATACGTGGAGTATCTGAAAGTCCGGCCCCACTAATCAATGAGTCAAAATGTTTTTGGTTGCCATCTGTCAGTTAAAAAATCTAAGCTTTAGTAGGTCTGTAGGTCATTTATTAGGAAAACTGCTACGCTGTAGATTGATTGTTAAATTAAGGTCCAACAGATGTTGCAAGATTATCTAAAAACATTATAGTTCAGTGCACAATGGGCTTGGTTTAGTGTTGGTAAAGTGGTAAAAGTGTATATACCTAAATATTGTCGAACATCATAAGGACACTGCAGAATTTAACCCTTAACTGGTAACGTGCCGTCTGTGAGACTGCAAGCAATTTTTTTTCAATGTTGGAACAAAACTGTACCTGCGCTGCGGTCAATGATCTTATCTAATCGTTCTCCTATTGGTGCCCCGTCTACCGCATGAACAGTGGTAAATTCGGGAAAACCATCTTTGAGTTTGAGACAGTTGTAATTGTTACTTCAGCGCAGTTTGTGAGACGGCACGTTACGGTTTGTGTAAGAATTTCTTGCAACTTGTAGCCATGGCAGGCCCGTCAAAACGTGTACGTTACGGTGATAAGGATTTTGAGGAGACTCTTCAGCGTTGGTATGAAGAAGATGACGCAGTATATAGTGAATCTAGTGACTTGGACAATACCTCAGACGAGGAATTTGAAATTTCCGATCATGATAGTAGAAGTGAGTTATCTCAAAGTCGTGACGAGAATGACGAAGTTACAGAACAACAAAGTGTGGATGAGAGAAAGTATTTATTTGGAAGAAACCGTCATAGATGGTGTACAACGGAAGTTCGACCAATATCTCATACCAGGAAACATAATATTGTAACGAAAGTTCCTGTTATCAAAGGAAAAGCTCGACAGCTCGGAGAAGAAGCAGATCCTATTTCTGTGTGGCAACTGTTATTTACCGAAGAAATGTTACAACATATTGTGAAATGGACAAATCATAAAATAAGTTCAATGCGAACAAAGTATAAAGTGGATTCGACCACATTGAAAGACGTTGACGAGATTGAGTTGAGAGCTTTTTTTGGACTTCTGATATTCACATCTGTTTTCAATTCAAACCATGAGAATATCAAAACTATTTTTGCGACAGATGGAAGTGGAAGAGACATCTTCAGGGCAGTGATGAGCGAAAAACGATTTGCTACACTTCTGTCTGCAGTGAGGTTTGACAATCCAGAGGACAGGAACGAAAGGAAAAAGCAGGACCCTGTAGCAGCAATTTCTTTTATTTTCAACAGTTTCATAGAGAATAGCCAAAATGTCTATGGAATTGGCCAGTCGACCACCGTTGACGAAATGCTTGTGAGCTTTCATGGCAGAGCTAGATTCAAAATGTATATGCCAAACAAGCCTTCCAAATATGGGATAAAAATAATGGCTTTAACAGATGCTAGAAATGCCTACCTTTACAATGCGTATATATACGCAGGAAAAGATTCCGATGGGATTGGACTTGACCCTGAATTCAGGAATTATTCTAAGCCAACTCAAGCCGTTTTACGTCTTGCACAGCCTTTATTTGGGAGCAACCGCAACGTCACGGGAGACAACTGGTTTTCATCGGTGGAGCTGACAGACATATTACTGAAAAAGAAGCTCACATACGTTGGAACGTTGAAAAAAAATAAAAAGGAAATTCCATCTTGTTTTTTACCGAACCAGGCAAGGGAACTTGGATCAACTCTGTACAGCTTTCGTGAAGACTCAACTATAATTTCCCATGTTGGAAAGAAAAACAAGGCTACCATACTTATCTCCACAATGCATGATAGGACTTTTACTGATCCAGAGACAATGAAACCTGAAATAATTGCATACTATAATGCCAACAAAGGAGGGGTGGATTCTCTTGATGAGAAATGTGCAACAAGTAGTTCTAGTCGTCGTACACGTAGATGGCCTTTAGCTGTTTTTTACCGTATTATTGACGTCTCAGTAGTGAATTCATACATCTTACATCAGTGTTACAAAAACAATAAAGTGATGAAAGACAAATCTGTATTTGCGAAAGAACTAGCTATCAAACTTGTCCAAGGACACATGGAAAGACGACTACAGAATCCTCGTTTGCCTCGCGAGTTACGCTACACCATATCACGTATCCTCGGCAGACCAGAAGAAAATTTACCCGACAGAACGGAAAATTTACCCGAAAGACAGGAAAATTTGATGTTGCAAAAGCGAAAAGCCTGTTATTTGTGTCATAAGACCACACATCGAATGACAAAATATCTGTGCTTGGAGTGTAGGAAACCAGTATGCCTGCAGTGTTCACATCCCAAATGCAACAGTTGTGCGAATAAGCCTTAGATTTAGGACCTTTGAAATGCAAAATTTCTTAACGTTTTGTTTCACTGATGTATTGTTTCATTTATCATTAATAGTAAAATATATAACATTGCTTTCATTTATCATTTTTTCCATTATCATGCTCCCTTGGAAATTACACTACCAATTTTTTTTTCAAGTTGATAATTATTATTTAATTTTTTTTTCACGTTAATTTTCCCGGATATTTTATGTAAAATTATTACTGAGAATATGCAACTAACATACCTTCATATATATTTGTAAAAAATTATAAGGTTCATTTATTTATTTTTGATTTGAAAAGGTGCCAGTCTCACAGACTGCACGTTACCAGTTGTGTTTCAAATTTGCACGTTACCAGTTAAGGGTTAACATACTAATTGCCGATTTGTCGCGGTAACATGTGATGTTAGATATTACCCATCGTCCAGAACAGATGGCAGCTGAAATACAATGGAAAAAAGTGTGTGGTCTTAGAAAATTAACAGTTTTTATTTTTAGAAATTCAAAAACCTTATATGCGGTATTACAGAATTTGAAGTCAACCATATGTAAAAATAATCTCGCCATTGGATATTAATAGCGTCCTTCCACGCAACGTCTCGTTAACTAGTATAATCGCCATATCAACGTGAAAGAGGGCCCTAACATGCTGCCGTAATTTATAAGATAGTAAAATTCAATTTGTTTTTCCAAATTCCAAATATGATTCAAATATCCTTTCAAATATAAATAATATAATTAATTAGAAAGTAGACAAACACTTTAACCTAAAGCTAATTAAACACATTTAATAAATATAACTAAATTGTTTTACTTGGATTAGATAAACTGATTTTAATAGTTCATCAATTGTAAATAAATTGGTGTATTTCAGCCTAAGTAAAATAGTTTAATTGATTCAAGTAAACTGGTTTAGAAATTAGAGTTTATCAAAACTACCTAAGCTTTTTGGCTGTCACATAGTAGATTAAATTTTCAAATTAGTTAAATTTTTTCTTAGTGTGACTACTATCAAATATTATCATCCATCCAAATGATTGTTCGAGATAATCGGCAATTCATTGTTGAAAAGGACCAATAACTTAGAACACGTGTACTGAGAACACGTCCTCTTGCTGCCACTTCACGCTGTTGATGATTTTTGACCCTCTATAACTTTCAAGTTATCAGGTAAGTTCATTTGGTGTTTATTTTTACACGACCAGTAGGGTACGCAGATTGTAATTAATTACAGTATTAAAATTGAATGAACTTCTATATATATTTACAGATTTTCCTCAGAAATTCTGTTCGACCTCATACACATAATTACCTGATACTCTTTTTATATGATATGTATTGCCAAAAGGAAAAGTATTCCCAATTAAGTTTGCTGCCAGATTACCTCAGGAAGCTGTATGTAGATTAAAAATTTCAACGTTTTATTTTTGTTATGAAAAAATTCTGGGGTAAAATCTCAATTTCACTTAAATGTCCGGAGTTTTTTAAGCATTTGTACGGCGTCGGTAATATAGGCGATGGGAGCTCTACTTAGAAATTTGTATAATAGTGACCGATAGCCGCGTATTATGATAAAACAAAAGTTAACTTAGATGTGCGACGTGTAGTTGAATTAGACAAATTTTTATCACACCCAACGATATTGTTTTTAGTTACCGGTTCACTAATGTTTTGACATTTGCAAGTTAACCTAACATCACTTATGCAATTCATATACGTATTGTTTACATTGTATATATCGAAACGTACGCAATTAAGATATAGGCGTAAAATCCATTCAATGACTTTACTGGATGATGTTTTAGTTTATTGTTTTTGCTTGTGGGGTATTTGCTAGAGTTGGCGTTGAATCAAAATGAACTGCTCATACCAGCAGTTGAGCCGCAATTCTTTGTAATATGTACTTCCTTTAAATGACCGCTGCGATCAGTGCGTTTTGTTACTTATTACATAGTACCTATATATTACCAGGAACGCAGAACTTGGAACTCGGTACGTCTGACCGCCTTCTGTCTGCGCGGGCTCTTAGTAGTGTCATAGGAATAAGTCCCGTTTATTTATTTACAATTTTGGTAGCTAAGCGTCTATAATCGTGCGGTTCCTCCTTAACCAAAAGAACGCAAAGACGATCATAGCAACATTAGAAATGATGTCGATAATGCGCCAAAGACTAAGGGAATCCAGAATAGACCTCTTAGGTACAGGAAAGGCTTCTTTGATAATTCTCGTTACGATGACCCAAAGGCTGGAGTATTCATCAAATGATCCCTCAGGGTAGGCTTCTTTAATGATCGCCCTTATAAAGGTGACGATGGCCCGAGGACTAGTAGAACTTGGAAAAGACCTCTCAGCACAAACTTCGTTGAACCCATCCTCCTTGTCAATTATATCGCATATCCATTCATAATATTCTGATCCTCTTGTAAATACAGATATGTGGATTGCTTTGTTGCATAGGAAAGAGCTCACACCAATTTGGGAGTTGCCTAATAGCAGCGGACCTCCACTATCACCTGGACGAGTAGTCGCGTTCGTCTTGTTGTTGTAGACACATATGTGAAACTTTGAAGAGATCTGAAAAACAGTAAAAACTATATTCGCTTTTTAACTATTTGCAGGCCCGGACTGGGACCATTTGGCGCCCTCTGCTAAAACCTGTAAACGTATCCTGTGCAGGGGGTCTGAGGGGTGTGGAAATTTTTTGAATATTAGGTGCTTGAAAATGCGTTTTTACGCTATTTTTGCACTTATAAAGAAGAAGCAATTCAGCAATATTATGATTTTAGACTTTATTATTGATTAGAATAAGAAATTTGCAATATTTTTAGGAACACTACAACCAAACACATGCTGTAGAACTACCAATATGTAATTACAACAGAACTGCTGTCTTGATTCAGGTCTAAAGGCCGTCGTCGGTTAGAATTTCTTCCTAACGTTTCGCTAGCGCGAGTGGCAAGCTTCTTCAGAGGTCCTTCCATTTCGGGTGACAGATCGGGTTGAAGTTATCTGGATGTTTGTGAATCTCGAAAGCTTCCCTGACCAGTCTATTGTAATAGCCCTTGACTGATCACAGCAACCTGCAGCTCCCAAAGCGTATCGTATGGTCCCCATTGCTTAGTGCATGTTCAGCTACCGCAGTTTGTCCTAGCCGGTAAGTTGCTTTTTGCTCCTTGAGTCTCGTTCCCATCGATCTTTTCGTGGTTCCAATGTATACCTTGCCGCATGTACACGGTAAGGTAAGCGGTAGACTCCTGCAGCTGAGAGTGCGTCCTTCTTGTCCTTTGCCGATCTGATGGTTTGTTGGATCTTCTTCGTAGGCTTCAAGATTGTTTTAATGTCATGTCTCTTCAGGACTCTGCCAATCCTGTCCGTGACTCTTGGCACAAATGGAAGACACGCTTGAGAGGTGGTGGGACGCTGTTCGGTTTCACGTGGCATGGCTGATCTCTCGATGTCCCTCTTGCTGTAGCCTCCTTCGAGCTCGTTCTGTCAGGAATCTGATGACTTCATGACAAAGCGTACAGGTATCTGTCTGTGTGCGTTGGTTTCCTATACACTGTGTGACTCAGCTTGTTTCCTCGCTTCCTGACTAGTACGTATAAGACGGCCAGTTGTTGGTCACTCTCTATCTCCATGGTAAATTGTATGCTTGGATGCCGATCATTGAGGTGCTGCAGAAACTCGTTTAGCCTGTCCGTGCCATGTTTCTAAATCACGAAGGTGACGTCCACGTACCGGAACCAAATTGCCGAAGAAGATCCAACAAACCATCAGATCGGCAAGATGGACCCACTGTCAGCTGCAGGAGTCTACCGTATACCGTGTTCATGCGGCAAAGTATACATTGGAACCACGAAAAGATCAATGGGAACGAGACTCAAGGAGAAAGCAAATTGCCGGCTAGGACAAACTGAGAAGTCTGCGGTAGCTGAACATGCACTAAGCAATGGGGACCATAGGAGGAGCTACAGGTTGCTGTCATCAGTCGACGGCTATTACAATAGACTGGTCAGGGAAGCTATCGGGATTCACAAACATCCAGAGAACTCCAACAGGAAGGAAGAGACCCTCAGACTCAACCCGATCTGGCACCCGATCCTCAGCAATGCCCGAGCAGTGCCGATCAACATCCCGAAGTCAACCGAAGCGGAACAAGCCACGTCACCTACCCTCCGGTATAAATACAACCTGCGCAAGAGAAATCGTCAGTCTACATTCAGCATTGGCAATGGAAGGAGCTCTGAAGGAGCTTGCCACTCGTGCTAGCGAAACGTTGGGAAGAAATTCCAACCAACGACGGTCTTTAGACAAGAATCAAGACAGCAGTTTATCAACTTAACCAATTTTTCGTTTACAACAGAGTTAAAAATAAAGCGCAGCATTTTATTCAAACCACCAAGTATAATGAATTATGACAAAATTATTTTTGTAATAAAAATAAAGAGGGATTTTAGGAATTAGAAAAATAATACTAACATTTTTTAAAAAATCCTATGCAACAGACTATAATGTACTAGAATAGAAGGGGCTTAACTGAGATGATTCGATATTTTATTCCCCTAGCCCTAAAGTAGCTTGTTAAAGCTACTTCATCTATTATTTTGTCCAAATCAACATTAATAAAAAGCAGAATGGACCTAAAGACGACCGAAGTCGATTTTTGACTATTTTAAGTTTAGAAATAGCTCGTTCACATGTGATTTTGGTACAAGGTATGGTAAGAACAAATGTATATATATATATATATATATATATATATATACAGGTTCGTAAACAGTCCAGATTGAGTAAGTTCTAACAGAACAGAAATAGCACGTGTCAAACACTGGAAACATTTTCTATTTTCAACATTGTGTTTCGAGGTAAAATTTTTCGATCTGCCTGCGACTTTGCACCACAACAATACATAAATCACCCGTCTGGTACTGCTAATAGGTATAATTCGGCAGTCATTTTCTCACATAACAAATATCACTGATTTTATGCACATGCAGACCAATACATATAACAACCAGCCAGATGCAACCTTGCTACTCTGCTACTCAACCAATTTTGGATAAATCCCGGATTTAACTCGTAAACATAATGAAAGGGATGATTCAGTGCAACAAGAATAACGGATCGTTAAGACGTCCGTTAAGTTAGTTTTGAGATCGATAGCAAGCCAGAGAAAGAAAAGCCTCCTTGACCGCAAAAGTGACAGATGGTAATTTGACAGTACTGACTACTGACAGTAATAACAGGTTGCTCATTTTTTAATTCCGACGTGAAGCTAGCCAGAATTCCAGAATTTTGAAAATGTTTTACATGAAAAGGTTAGGTAACATCTGTCATATGTCTATTCTAAACCAGTCAAGACACGAATAGGTCTAGAATCATAGGAATAATAAATCACAAAACCAGCAAAACTAGAATGAAAAAGTATCTTGCCACGTTGCATATACTGTGAGATTCCACTTTGGCTAGTGTCGTAATGTGTACGAGAGAGAGAGAGAGAGAGAGTGCGCGATGACAACGCGGCCAAGGGCACTAGCTAGATGAGTGGCCCCCAAATGCATAAAATCTAACGAAATTTACGAAAAAGCTTTACCGTATTCTTTATAACTAAAGCAGATTCCGTAATTCGATAACGGAGAACGAAGGACTGTCTCGCAACTGCGCAAGCTCAGAATAACGAAAATCTTGTCGAAATAGAAAAACTCTCGCCTTAGTGAAGTGTCGCTCTGTAATATGATACAGGGTGTTGAATTTTAATTCAGAAGATAATATTTTCTCTATAACTCAAACAGTAACATGAAAATGTGGATTTACTGGTTTTTGCTGAAGAACCCAAGTAATATTGTATTTTCAAGATATCACGTAGATGATGCCAGTTACAGTTTATAATATCGCTATTTTATGCCCTAACTTGTTTGGTATTACCGTTCCACTATGTTTTATTTATTTATTTCAATACTCTCTTGCACATTCAAATGGTGGTGGTATTGTCACTGGGCCGGTATTTTTGAAATCGGATATAAAAGTCGATAAGTATCACGTATTCCAAGGTTTAGTACTTCTGAAATTTTAGGCTATAATTATCGCATAACGCCATGTCAACCAGAATTATCAAATTGTAATACTTACAGTACCTCGAATTTTGAACGAAATTCCGATTTTTTCCGTTTTTTGAAACAAAGTGTTAAATAGTTACCTTTGTGTTTTTGCACAACTCGTTGCATCTTGATGTTCCGATGACGTTTAAGCGGACTTTCCTTAATTCCATCGTCATTCCTACATCATTGCTTATAATCATTACTGCTTCCCTACCAGCGACGTCTTCAACTCTTTTTATAATCTGTAGTTAAACAGTTGAGAAAATTTATGTATGACTGAAAATCTAAGTTGAAAAACCCTTCATCCACTATCATCCCACTTTACATATTAAAAATATGAACGATAACAAAAGTTACATTTGGACGGCTTTTTCCTGAAAGGAACCCACTAAATATGAAAAATCTATAACTTATAAATTGTTTAGTGTTGTGTTCTACAGGATGTAAACGTTATGATAGTCATTATTAAAATGGGTGATAGAGAGGGTTGAAAGAAGCAAAACGTTTTATATAACATGGAGGTCAAAACGGCATTTTTTTAGAGAAAAGGGACTTTAAAGTAAAATAAAATGTGACAACGCCGCAATGCCAGACGCAAATTACGATGGAACGCAGTGTAAATAAAGATGCAGTTTGTTATTTTTGGCTCTTAGGTATTATTTCATTAGTTGATAATGTACTCGTAAAATGCAAACAATTAAAAAAAAACGGACTTACCACTAACTGTCTCAGCGATTTTTTATCATTATCAAAACTTTAATAGTTATTCTGGTTTGGCTCCTTTGTGCAAAAAGCCGTCCATTTTTGTGTATGATTTTTAGCCCCGGCGCAGAAGCTTCTAAACGGATAAACCTATTACCATGGCGGGCTATGTTCTTCGTGAGGCCAATTATTAAAAATTCGTCGTTATTGCCATTCGATGACATATTTATTCTCTCTCTACTCGAACACCAATCGAACTCAGGAACACAGTCGCACTGAATTTTAAATATTATATTGCTAACTTATTAGACATCCATGCAATACCCATAAAAATTACTTTAAAACATTTTCACGAATACGTCCTTACGATAGCGTCCAAGTAATGTTTGTAGTATGTCTCGTTTCAATGAAAGGCCTTTTTATGTAGTTTAGGAAGTATAATCAGATATTTTAATTAAAATGTTAGCTTTTTAAACGATTGATTTATTATATCGGACTTGTATGGACCTTTGTTCCTTGTACGCCATTCAGAAAGCACACGAACTCATGGTTATTACCTGACTTATCCGAATGTGATATTTTTCTAAGTCAATATCATATTTCAGTCTCATCAGCGCAATATCGTTGATAGGTATCCCATTAGGAAGTTGTCTATAATCTTCGTGTGGCTTGACGTGAACATCTTTTGTGAAGCACTCGTAGTACTTGTTGTATATCAACACGTTTAAGTTGGTATTATCTCTACAAAATTTTTAAAAGTAAATGAAATGAATTACAAAACGCTAAAGTAGTTACTGGTATATTTTTGTCCCTAAAAAAATAATTTTATTTACTACGAGACCAGTATAAATAAACTAAACATGCTGCTTTTGAGTGGGCCTCCAAATGCGGACTGAGATCCGCATTGTCCCAGTCGGTAGCTGCTCACGGTTCGCAGTTGTCGGTCCTAGTGGTAGATGGCGCTTCGCGATTCCTTATTTAGATAGATCTTTATTGTATAGTTGCTGTGTGCTTTCATTCATTGTCCCTGAGACGAGAGACCAAGGCTAGACCATGCCAATGAGTAGCCAAAAAACTCTTCATGTTTAGCTGGTCCAATCATACACATCTAGAATCGTCGCCATTTAGTGGTCACTAGGTGACTGGGCTTCCAATTGCGGTCTGAGATCTTCACAGTCCCAGCCGCGATGTCTCATTTCGATTGATCTGACCGGTATAAACAACTTGCGCACGAATTGCACGTTAAACGAGGTAAGAACTTCGCATCTATAGAAGAAATTTTATTACTCTTTTTGTCCATAAAAGCATTTTTTGCACATTCTATTATGTATTTTCTCTTCAGTCGTACCTTGTTATTTGCTGCAAAATGAGGTTTCAAGAAATCAAAGATTTTTCGAAGAGAAATAGTGATAATAAAAGTAACCACGTGTTTCATTCTTCCATTACAGTTGAATATTCACGTACAATTACGCAGCTTTAGCGTTATTTCAGTCATCTCTATACATACCTTGAAAGAATCAGATTTAGAATACCGATGCAAACAGGTAGTTGGAAAAAGCGAAAGATTATAAATCAGATTGTTGATTCGTTAACAAAGATTTGAGGCAAGTTTTTCTCTACTGGCTGCCATCCTGTGCAAGTCATCAAACTTCTTTGTCACGTATTCCTGTCAAGGGGTGATAGATTAGGTCAAAAGCAACCGATTTTGTCCTATAATGTCCTATCCAGAAGTTAACCGTTTTTGAGTTATTTGAATTTTATTTTTTTTATTTTTTATTCCGATTTCAGACGGTTAAATTTGAAATACCAAAAAACTACATGTTTGATTTTGAGTTTTTGTTATCGACATTCCAATAGTTTATAATAAGTAATAAAATGTTGAAAACTTACAAAAGTTTTAAAATTACGCTTTTGAAATGTATGGTTTTCTCATTTTTTTAATAACTTATTCGATAAAAAATGCAATTTTCTGTAAAAAATCTCCTAGTAATGAAATGTGCAAATTATGTAAATAATATCTCTATCTAACAAGCTTCCATTTGAGGTATAAAAGTTACAACTAACTCAAGTACAAAGACATAAAATTAAAAAAAGATGAGTAAAGTTGTACGAACGATAATTACGTAGGATAAATTAAAGGCTTTTATTTTAATTACAGTTTTATTTGATTACATTTCCTTTAGTATTTTACGGACTCTGCTCAAATTGTAATCCCCTGTTACGAATACACGCCCGCATTCTCTTATGTAATTCACTTTTGGTAACTCTAGTTGTTAAGCGGCTTTTTATTTGGTCAGTTGCACTGATTATCCTTGTAATTAATTCATCGCGCGTTGGTACGGGCGAAACATCGTACACCAGGCTTTTCATATGTTCCCACACATAGTAATCCATCAGTGTGAGATCTGGGCTTCTTGCTGGCCAGGCAATGGGCCCGCCTCTGCCAATCCATTGATTTGGAAATTTAGAGTCTAAATACGCCCGTACTAATCTACTGTAGTGTGCGGGACAGCCGTCGTGCTGGAACCGTATATTTTGTCTCGTCGCCAATGGGACGTCTTCCATTAATGGAAACAAGTGATTTTTCAAGAACTCTTCATACACTTCTCCATTTAAATTGGCGGGCAGAAAATGCCGTCCAATTAAATATCCATCAATGATGCCCATCCACACGTTGACTGAAAACCGACTCTGAGACCCCGTCGGTCTTATTTTTCGGGGGTTTAAAGCTTCTTGATCAGCCGAGTAATGAGCATTATGGTAGCTAGTGATCTCGTCCTTATCAAACTTCGATTTATCGGTCCACAGAATTTTCTTATAATAGTCTGGATCTTCTGTATCTGCATGTAACATGTACCTGCAGAAATCTAATCGTCTTGCAGATCGCCCTATTCAATCACATGCACAGGTGTGTAGTGATAAGGGTATAATCATAATCTTGCAGTATGCACAGTAAACCATACTTTGTATTGTGATATACCCAACTGAGCAGCCACAATGCGCGTAGACGTAGTAGGGTCTTCCTGAAACACACGAAGGATTTCCTCTTCATCTTCAGGAGGATAGACTCGGGGTCGACCAGCATCACTATGTTGCCTTTGAACACGTCTGGTTTGGCGGATGCGCCTATACACACAGTCAAACACAGTAACATGAGGTGTTCGGCGATTTGGGAAACGTTGCCGATGTTCACGGCGGGCAGCTGCAGAATCGCCGTTACAAAGTCCATAACAGAACATTATGTCTGCGTATTCTTCATTTGTAAAAGTTTGGCCGTGCTCGCTATGGCGAGGTCCTGGCGGATCTTCTGCGTCTGCCATGATGATAAAGAAACCACTCGAAATGAACTGGGAAACTCGAAAATAATAATCGTGCGTAAAACGTGTGCGCGTACGCAGTAGTTGATACCAACTAAACCTAATTCTCACTCGGCGTGCGGCGATGGCGTAACTACAATGATGAATAATAACAGCTTGCTCTCTCTCTCACTCCTCCACTAAGTCAGCTCTTCTCGCTCGCTTCCTCTTCGAGCCGATGCCATAAAACAATCATGGCATGCGAGCCCTTTGAGGACAATAACGACTTGTTCAAACAGGTATTACAAGTTCCTTAAAAAACCAGCCTCTGTGGGTGTCATTGTTGTTTCTCTGCATGTATTCCAGATAATTGAACGCTTAATATCAAATGAAAGCTTGTTAGATAGAGATATTATTTACATAATTTGCACATTTCATTATTAGGAGATTTTTTACAGAAAATTGCATTTTTTATCGAATAAGTTATTAAAAAAAAAAGAAAATGATACATTTAAAAAGCGTAATTTTAAAACGTTTATAGCTTTTCAACATTTTATTACTTATTATGAACTATTGGAATGTCTGCTATGCGACGATAACAAAAAACTCAAAATGAAGCATGCAGTTTTTTTGTATTTCAATTTTAACCGTCTGAAATCGGAATAAAAAATAAAAAACTTAAATTCAAATAACTCAAAAATGTTTAACTTTTGGATAAGACATGATAGGACAAAATCGGTTGCTTTTGACCTAATCTATCACCCCTTGACAGGAATATGTGACATTACAAGTCACCCTGTAGATTTGTCTTTATTATGGCATTATACCTTTTCTGATATTTTAGACCTTGGAAAATAAGAATAACAAATATCTATAAAATGGAAAAATTCACTATAAAATAAGTTTCTTTTGAAGTACAAATGAGTAGTTGCGAAGCGTTTCTCTGAAAACCGAAGAGCCGAAGGAGGAGGATTGCTTAGCTTCAGCAGCGCTCCTGCAAACAAATCCCTTTATCACAAATGGAAAACGAGGGAGGGGCGCTTCCAGTTCTCACGATACACCAAATATCGATTATCCGATTTATTGGAACACCTGAGCACTATTGGGGAGGGTGACTGCTTTTGTAGAAAAATCACAAGATAATGAGTAAAAATGAGAACGGACTGAGGTTGAAGTTTTCCAAAAGTTTTTGGATCCACCAGGACGGCGTTTCTAAAATCTTCAAAGCTCAAACTAGTGACTATTGTCATTACTGCTTTTGCTTTCGTCCATCCGACCACAGACGACTAACGGTTGATAGCTATTTCGTGCTTTTTGGGAACTCGTCGGCACGGCCTAGGCTTGGTATCGGCAGCATCTAGCGGTCACCGTGGTGACCAGGCTGTCAAACGCAAACTGAGATCTTTACACTTCCGACCGTTAGCTGCTATTCACTCTCATAAAGGTCGATTCTGGTAATAGATAGCAATTTGTGCTGTGTTGATTCGATACATCCTATAGGTAGAAGATAGTTGCTATATTTACGTTCGTTGTTCCACCTGAGACCAAACCTAGACCGTGCTGATGACTTGTCAAAAAGCACGAAGCAGCAGTCCACGGATGGCAGTCTTTGATTGAACGCACCGAAGAATATGTTTAAGTACCGACTATTTCAGATTATTATCTAAATCGTGAAACTCTGCAGAAACTTACTCGAAGAAACAATGTGCGGCAGTCATTATCCATCTTCTTCCTATAATTGTACCCTTACATCTGCTATTACGTTTGGATACGGATTCTACTCTATCGATATCGAGAATAGTCAAATCTACTAAAAAACTGTAATCTTTGTAGTCCACTGGTATACCATTTGACTGCGGCTCGTACTTTGCACTCTAGAAGAATTACCAAAAAACGACTATATAAATATACAAGGAGATCTGAAAAACAGTGTAAATAGTTAAAAAAAAATCATAGCTCCTATTGGTTGTCGGAAAAGTCATGACGCTTTTTTTTGTTTATTTTAAGGCCATTTTATTCATATACAGCACAAACTTCAATCAATAATGTATTGCCCATTTTGATCGATGACCTTTCGCCATCTTTCAGGCAGCTTCATAATTCCTCGCTCGTAGAAGGATTTGTCTTTACCGGCGAAAAATTGAACAAGGTGCTGATGTACAGCCTCATCTGAAGTAAATCGTATTTCTCGCAAGGAATTTTGAAGCGACCGAAACAAATGAAAATCAGATGGTGCAAGATCAGGCGAGTATGCTGGATGTGGTAACACATCCCATCCTAACTCCAATAACTTTTGACGAGTGAGCAAACTTGTGTGCGGTCTCGCGTTGTCATGGTGGAACACAACTCCTTTGCGATTAATGAGCTCCGGACGTTTTTGCATGAGGGATTGTTGCAAACTGTCCAATTGCCGACAATACACAGTTGTATCGATGGTTTGGTTCTTTGGCACGAGTTCGAAAAACACGATCCCTTTAAAATCCCACCAAACAGAGAGCATCACCTTTTCCTGATGACTCTCTGCTTTCGCGATCGTGTTACGCGTATCTACACTTCGGGACCAAGACCGTTTGCGAACCACATTGTTGTAAACAATCCACTTTTCATCTCCCGTTATCAAGCGCTTTAAGAAAGGATCGTTTTCCTCACGTTTAAGGAGCATATCGCAGATGTCTACACGCGCCGTCAAATGAACCTCTCTCAGTTCGTGTGGTACCCAACGATCGAGTTTGCTTACGTACCCCAGTTTCTTCAAATGGTCGTGAACGGTTGAATGATGAATTTTTAAGGTTTCTGCAATTTCCCGTGTGGTGTAATGTGGGTTTGCTCCTACCAATGCCTTTAATTCGTCACTATCCAACTCAGTAGGCCGCCCTGATCGAGGTGCGTCATGGATATCAAAATCCCCATCTCGGAATTTTTTAAACCATCTCTGGCATTGCCGTTCTTGTAGTGCATGTTCTCCATAAACCTTTCTCAACTTTTCACACGCTTGTCTTGCGTTTTTGCCTTTGCGGAAGTAATACAGCAAAATGTGACGAAAATGCACAGTTTGGTCGTCCATCTTCAACGTCCTCTAAAATCGACGAGACTCAAATAAATCACTTAATTTTTTGGTGCAAATGAAGCTTGAAGTGTCAACTGTCAAACTACACAATCAACATACAAATGTCATTGACTCACGTACTTCCAACCATGCAATTGCATACTTTGTTGCATACGTCATGACTTTTCCGACAACCCAATATAAACTTTCAGCTCGGGAAAAGTGTGATTTAAAAGTTTATGACATCAGAAGTTGAAAAAACTTGTATCCCCTAGTTGATTAGTTTTTATACGATTTAGTTTGTGTCAGCTTGGACTTTAAATGTCTGCCAACCTCAAATACGAATGCCATGTGAATCGCATTAGCTTGCATTTGAATCTGTTATTACATGAAAATCACACATTTTTGGGATACAACATTTTAAAAAACTGATTAGATCACCTCGTCGGTGTTGTTTCCCAAATACTGTACATATTCCGTCTCCTTGACTTCCTCGATCTCCTCTTTGACCCAGATGAAGTCGTCAGAATTGGCGTCCACACGAACTGCGATGGACCTCGTCGCCAGCGTGGATCCTCTTGGCTCGTCCTAAAGAATATGAATATAGATGTGGCTATAGGAAGGCATTGCCTGAACAAATTCAACAATTGTTATAAGGATAGACTATGCAGGGTGTACAAGAAAAATAATTTATTGTAAAAAGTCACAAAAAAATACTTAAAAATATGGATACGAGCAAGAAAGCATATGCTCGAAGTGTCCACCATCCGCTCGAAGACAGTCTCCTACCCTTCTCTGCATATTGCGGAACTCTTTATGTAAGACTGCTGGTGTTATTGCGTTAATAGCCTCTGTAATACGCGCTTGTAGGGTTGGGATTGAGGTGGATGGGTTCTGGAAAACCCCGTCTTTGATGTAGCCCCATAAATGAAAATCTGGAGGCGACAAATCAGGGCTACATGGTGGCCACAATGTTGGCGAAATAATGCGGGCTCCAAAAAATTCAGTTAGGAAATTCGTTGTCGAACCAGCGGTGTGAGCTGTGGCCCCATCCTGCTGAAACCAGCAATAACGTTACTCCGGCTTCAAAGAGGCAATAAACAATTCGAGGATTTGTTGATGGTTTCAGTAAATAAGAAGGGTCCAACAACTCGTGCGCGCGATACAGCGCACCATATCCCAATCCTCTGGGGGTGTAACCCTCTTTCCACATACGCATGAGGATTTTCACTTCCCCATAGACGGTAATTCTGTGCATTTACATAACCGTCTCATCAGAGAAAAAGACCGTATCCAACTGAGCCATACCTTGGCGCACAAAAGAATTAAACGACGAGCGTAGTCTGGAGGTTTCAATTCTTGTCGTACCTCAATTCGATAGGGATACAGCTTCAATTCATGAAGAGTACTGTGTACACGGCCAACAGAAATTTCATGCATGTGTGCCAATTTTTGCACTGAGAGGCGAGGGTTGACTGTAACTGCTCGCCGCACCACTTCGACCTTTTCTGGCGTTTTTACACTGCGCTGACGGCCACTTCCCTTTCATCTCACAGTTCATTCTGAAAACGGTCGAACACTTTTTTTTTATACTCCAACTATAACGAAGGCCTAAGGCCTAAACACCCATTGGGTACCGTGGGGCTATTGGGGGATACAGGGGAAAGGGGGAACGCCACACGGACTCTGGCGAGGGAACACGTGTGCATGCAACATGCACACATTCTGGCTCCGCCTACGAGATCCGCCGGGTGGTACCTCCACGTTCGACAGTCAGAGACCGTGTACCACCTACGGACAATCACAACATCCATAACCAAGAGAAAAATTTCTTCTGGGACGGGACTCGAACCCGCACAGCGCACGGCGACTGCTGCCTAAACACTCGCTTTTCCACAATAAAACTCGCTTCTGCTGCAGATAAATCCATCGTGCCCACCACGACCGCCTTAACTCATATACTGACAACACTGTCACCGTTTGCTTCGAAACCTGCGGTACACGTTTATGAAGGTACCGTGTTGCTGTAGCCGCGATCTGCATTTCCAATGTTTTATTTCACGTCTTTATAAGCTTACGAAGTTAGAGTATCTATTTTTCTTGAACACCCTGTATAATCTACCAGCCTAATCCCACGACTCCGCCCGTATGGAAGTTGTATAACGTATAGGTTATTCATTTTGTACTAGTGTGGAAGAGATTGGTTTCGGAGAAAAAAATGGCGCCAAGTAAGTTAATTACTGAAGTAAAATATACGAGAGGAGCTCGCAGCGGTCGTTCAGAAGAAAATGTCATAGCAGTTCGCGAAAATGTAGCGCTCTAGAATTGGATATTAAAACAGCCACTCTCCAGCGTATTCTGACGAAAAATTTACATCTGCATGCCTACAAAGTCCAACTGACTCAACAGCTTATGCCAACAGACCATGCACAGCGAAGAGAGTTTAGCAATTGGATCCTTGGCCAACAATATGTGAATGCTGATTTTGTATACAAAATCATTTTAAGCGATGAGGCCCATTTTCATCTCAATAGACAAAGCTGCTGCATTTAAGGCACAGAGAATCCAAGAGTAACTCATGAGACAGCTATGCATCCATAACGTCACTGTTTGGTGTGCACTATGATCTGGAGGAATTATTAGACCGTTTGTCTTTGAGGAAGAGGAGGGTAATTCACTAACAGTGAATGGCGAACGTTATCGTGCAATGATTACTCAGTTTTTTTGTGCTACAAGTAGAAGTCATGACTCTTAATGACATATGGTTTCAGCAGGATGGTGCCACATGCCATACTGCTTATGAAACATTTGGCAGTTTTGCACGAGTCTGCTCCTGGTCGAGTCGTCTCCCGGTTTGGTTACCAGAATCGGCCGCCACGCTCTTCCGATTTAACACCTTTGGATTTTGGCTTTGGGGTTATCTCAAGTCACAAGTTTATGCCAAAAAGCCTGCAACCACCGAAGCATTGAAAGCTGAAATCACGCGGTGTATCAACGAGATACCACGACGTGTTCAACAATGTTACCACAAATTTTATTAAAAGAGTGCGCATGTACCAGCGGAGCCGTGGCAGCCATTTACCTAATATGTTGTTTTATACATGATTCCAGATAATTAAATAAATATTTCAGTTGTTTGTTACAAAATACCATGTTTAATAGAACCTTGAAATATTGCGTCCTTATTGAAATACCCTTTATTTGTACAATGGATAACGTTTCCCTGACGAACGTTCAAAGCAGGATTTGAAATTTGCATTTTACCTTAAGCTGTAACAGTTATCATCGTAGTTTTTTAAATGTGGAAGATTTTCCAAATCTGCAGACTTTTCAATATTTTCATGAATTTCAAAATTATCAGAGTTTTCAAATTATCCAATGCTATCTAGTACTTACACCATGTCGAGGAGCTGCACAGGTGTTGATTGTGGAGTATACATCCTCCAGATATTTTCGATGGTTCATATAACATACCTCTGTACCTCTGCACCCGATCTGGACTATTATAAAAAATAAAATCCACCTTGACATGGCAACTGTCACTGATACACTGAATTTTGATAATGCATTGATTGCAATCCAACCCATTTTATCTTATAGGTGAAAACTTTATCTATTAATCTATAAATACATCTGACGTCATACGCTTTTCTAGCTACAAACATCAAGGGCGGATCCAGTTTTCGAGACAGTAGGTCTCATAGTCGTGGTCCAGTCAGGACTGGCCCCAATGCGATTAGAATGATAAGTCTAATTAGAAAATGAACTCGGGCCAGATCCGGTTCATCGTCAACGTATAAAAATAAGCTTGCCATAAATTGGCCTTCTAGGGATCAATACCAACAACACACCAACAACACGACATCTCCCAATATCTTCCTAACATGCTTTTAAATGAATAACTTCTTCTGTATAACAATTCTGTATTTGGTCTAACTACAATCAGTACATTCACCAGTTTTGCAACTGCAAAGGTTTTTTTTGTTGGGCCATCATATGGATCATATTGCCATTTATTCAGCGTCAATATCCTGTTTTGCAATCTCGATCTGACTTTGATTGAAAAAGGCACGTTTTGTCATCGACCACTAAAATTTCGGCACCCAGTGACTGCAATCTTTATGGATTTATTTTTACTTGATATTGATTTTGAAAGAGTCAAAAAAGTTACTGTTTTCCTTGTTTTCGAAGATCAGCATTTTTGGTACTGATAATGAGAAGGCTAATGTTTTTAGGTTTTTTATACCTCCATGTACCTCTAATAATCCTACACGAGGGAGATCGATCCATTGTACGGTTTCTCCTGACCTATTGGTCAAAGTTTGAAAATGATGTAAATTCAGTGTCGGATCTCACTCATTTCGGTCAGACGGAACACTCAATATTTTCTAGATCCGCCCCTGGTCAGTATTTTTGTTTTTTGGAGTATTCCATGAATAAAACTGTGACACCAAAAGGAGAAGATATTTTCCCATTTCCATCCAGATTACAGAAAGGTTTGGTACAAAAAGTTTGTTCATTTGATTTCTTTCAAACTTCGACCAATCGGTCCGGAGAAACCGTACAATGGATCGATCTGCTGTCATGTGAGGTTATTAGAAGTATATTGGGGCATAAAAAAACCTAAAAACATTGATCTTCCCATTAGCAGATCTAAAAATGCAATCACTTTACCAAAACAAGGCGCGAGGTAGCTTTTTGACTAAAGAAACGAAAAAAAAAACCCAAAGATTGCAATCAAATTTAAGCTTTGAGAAAAACCGTTACGTTTTCTGTGCGATCATTGGTTTCCCAGATATCAGTGGTCGATGACAAAAGAATCCTTTGTCATTCAAAGTCATCGTATCGAGATTTTAATAACAGGATATTGGAGCTAAATGAACGGAATATCTTTTCGCCCGTGGACTGAAAAGGAGGCAACAAAGTTTGCAAAAAATGTTTCTTGCGCTATCTGTTAGGATTGCATAAGGATCGTTGCACTTTAAGTTTATCCCACAATATAGCTAAGAACTGGAATCTTCAAGCTTCAAATTCATATTTTTTAAAACCTAAACACGATCATTTTTCATCGAAGTGCAACCTGTCAAAGGTCACTGAAAAATTTGGATTTTTTTGGTTGTTTCCTTAATTTTTTTGAGTAGACTGGGACCCATTTTCCGTCCATATGTTTTGTGTGGGGTCCTTTTGTTGCATTATACAGTGTCGTCCAGAAATGATAAAAAAAAAACGATACACACTAGCTCTCTCCAAAAGTATGACATCTTTCATAGAAATTTGTGGCATTATTTATGATCTTATCTTTGTTGCTCATCATCCCAGCGATAATTTTATTTTGTCTGGCATTCGCCTGTTGTAGTCAATGGTCGAAACTCATATTCATCTTTATCACTGTTTGAATCACGTTGTGTCCAACATTTCCACACAAGAATGAGCCCAATGAGTCCAATGCCAATGACTATGATAGCAATGACAGCGATAATGGCAGAATTGGAATTCACTGGACTGATTACATTGATGATAACACCAAAAAAGGTGATGAAGTTGATGTACCAAGGAAAAGACCTGTCAGGACAGACCTCATTGATCTCATCTTTCTCATCAATCATGTCACATATCCATTCGTAATAATGAGATACTCTAGTGAATACAGACGGCTTGATCCTTTTCGATTTGGCCGTGTTGTGAGCGCAAGTGAAAGCGCTCACACCAATTGGATTCTTGTCTAATAGCAGCAGAGGTCCTCCACTATCACCCTGGCAAGTACTTGCGTTCGTCGTGTTCGAAAAGCCGCATATGTGAAACTCTGACGATAGCTAAAAAACAGGGTGGTCAATATAAATGGTTGACGTAAGACTGATGTAAAATTTTTGGTTTGTAGTATAACTGATGCAATTTGGCTGACACTTGCTTCACTTCGGTGGCGCTTCTGGTTATATCGGTCGTAGATACCAACTTGCTTATCATAAATAAAATACCCTGTCAATTATTGAATTTGAAAGGAGAAGCGCCACCATTTTGAAAATATTTTATCCGAGTTGCTCCTGTTATCCTACAAAGTCATATTTTCATAATTTCATGTCAACATTTGCTTCTATGTGGACGCCCTGTACATATAACATATTGTTTCTGGAATATATTGAAGACGAAATGAAAAAGATCAGATACGGACTTAAGATCGCCGATAACACGAAGTGGCGTATGTCAGAAAATACGAAAATTAGTCCATATTTATAAAAAAAAGTGTTACCTTCTGCTTTAAAAAAATAAAGCAATTCCTTCCAAGTATATGCATAAAAAGAAGTGAAGGAAAAGGTCTCGCTTCTGTAAAGTAAAAGGTGTTAACGTTTTATTATTTATAAAAAGAAGCATTTGCTTAAAAAACTAAAGGATTTGCTTCTAATAAAAGGAATCTAGGTTACAGCAACTTTTCTCATTTTATCATTAGTTGTCCCGGCATCTTAGAGCCTGCATCCTAAAATTTGTGCATTTTCGTTTAATAAAATCTATTTGTAAGGGCTTGTTTAAGTTGGTTGATTATTCGCAGTATTGTGTTAGTTATGGCTAATGTGGTGCATTTACGTACAAGAAAATACTACAAACCAAGACGTACACCTCGTGAGTCAGACTTCAAGACGTTGTTTAGATTTGAGGAGGAAAATGTGGTGTGGCTGGCAAATTACTTTCTTGGCATGGATTTCGAAACTCGTGGAGCAGCCCAGTCACCTGTGCAGAAAATGAAAATATATCTGCTGTATTGTGCGAACTCTGGATTTCAGAGCGGAATAGTTGAAGAATTGGGATGTTCGCAGCCCACAGTGTCCAGAATATTTCATGACGTGCTAGAGAGAATTGTACAACAAGCCGAAGAATTTATCAGGTTCCCAAATACAGAAAATCAAATTATGCAGGCCAAAGAGAAATGGTTGACCAGGTTCCGTTTTCCCACAGCTATTGGAGTTATCGACTGCACGCATATTCGTCTTGATGGAAAACCAGCCCAATTTGGAGACGAATATGTAAATCGAAAAGGTTTTGCCAGTATTAATGTACAGGTTACATGGGACCAGAATTCTGTTATAACTAGTATAGATGCAAGTTGGCCTGGATCAGTCGATGATGCTCGTATATGGAAAAATTCGGCAGTGTGTGAAGTCATGAAAAAGACAAGAAACACTATCCTTCTAGGGGCCAGTGGGTATGGTATAATGTCATGTCTTATGACTCCTTACACCGACCCCCACGAGGAATATCAGAGAGTCTTTAACAGGCTGCTTACATCAGAGCGAGTTGTGATTGAGCATACATTTCGGCAAGTAAAGCGACGATTTCCTATCCTGAAGTATGGCTGCAGAGTAAAACTTACCAGTATTCTAAAAGTTATAACTGGGTGTGCTGTGTTGCACAATATAGCTAAGCAATTAAGAGATAAAGATTTTCAAGAAAATGCCGAAGATGAAGAACAGGACTTGCCATTTATAGAGAATGAAAATGTAGATGATATTCGCGCACAAGGGCAAAGGCGCCGAGAGGAATTAGCTCGTCTTATTACCAATAACAATATAGGTGTATAATTAGGATTAAAACTTTCATGTCATGCTATGTATATGTCGTTTACTTCAAACGTACAAAGATGTATTTACTTAAACTAAAAATAAACTTACACGTTTGAACTGGAAAAAAACGTTTAATTATTTTTTGTGTTATAAATGATTCTATATTACATATACGTCTATTTACAAGTTTTGGTAAATATTATCTCCAACAACAACATACTCTTGCGGGGCTTTTTTCGTTTTAGCTTGGCAGAGTAATATTGTTGTTGTGGACGAGCAACTTTCAGTTGTTCAACTAAAACTAATCGTTGAAGCTGGGTTGTCGTTAACTGCCTCGTCTCGTCAGACTCTTGTTTGCCCGAAGCAAAGGTAGGCTTCGGAGGATTTTTTTTTGCAGCTACCTCTTCAACCGATGTGTAGGATCGCTTTTTGTTAGCTACTACTTGAGGCATAATCATCTGATGAGCGTCGTTCTCCACCATAATGTCATCCTTTGAAGTAGGTAAAGAAGGTTGACTTGCCACGCCAATTGCAAGAGCTCCTAATAAAAATATACGTGCATGATAAGTACCTACAAGGTTATAGTAAAGACCTGAATCTATTTCTCACCTGGTACCCGACTTAGTACAGGATTTATGTCCGCACCCATAGCCTTTAACATAACTTTCTCCCAGGACAAAAAGACGAATGGGCTTGTTCCCTGTTTTATTTTTGTCAGTTTTGTTTGCCAGTCGCATTTTCATATTGTTCACTTTTTTCATACAAGCTTTAATATCCATCTCGTTGCCAAATAAGGTAACGTATTCCTCAACGATATCAGCTAATGCAGCAGTTTTCTACTTTTTCATCGCTGGAACTTGATATCTCTCGAGAATCTCCGGAAATGCGTAGACTTTTTCAGCGATAAACATCATCTGGTTAGGGACATCTTTGGTAACTTCCTGTTCACTATCGGTGTCAGACATTTTAAATATTTTATTTACTTTAAGATAGATGCACAAATAAGTTAGATGGATCTTCTTTACATCAATTGACGTGCGAACTGCTTTTAATTATGAGACAAATAAGATCAACTCCATCAGTTATAGACCACATACGCGTTGATTGCACGCTGCAAGTCATATCTTGTCGAAATCGCTAATCTCCGTACCTTTTACTTTATTTTCCCGAAGCATTTGCTTGCAAGGAAGAGGTAGAGATTATGAATACGAATAAGAGCAAAACCTTTTACTTCTACCTTTTGCTTGTACCTTTTACTTCAAAGTAAATGCTTCATTTTTATAAATACGGACTATTGAGTTAACTCAATTATTACTTAAAAAAGATTGCTCTTATCATCACGGAGTGACATAAGTTAGTTTCTAATACCTTCAGAGTTATAGAAAAATAATATTAGACTTATCTCATTTTAATAGAAAATTAAATTTCACGAGGGAGCTTAACTCAAGTTACGCCAATTTGTGAAATTATAAAATATACACATCATTTTACAGCGTATGGCTTGTCTAAGTAAGATAGCGGACAGAGCTCAAAAAACTACAAAGAAAAAAGAAAGGTCTCGAAGGCACAAGAGCCGCAAGCAGTATTTAGTATGTAAAACTCTATTTTTGCACACGTTATGTGTCGCGGAACGAACAATGAGAACTTCCCTACAAAAATTAAATTCGAGTGGAGTCCTTGAAGGAGAGTGGACAGAATCAAAATTCCTTATTGCGACAATGCTTTTATATGCTGTAGCCAAAACTTCGAATATAGAATATATCATATCTCTTTATACCATTTTAAGTTATTTCATGGTCAAAATGAAGGAATTTCTGCCCACAGTGCCGTTTCTACAGCATTGTCCAAAGTAGGTGAAATTTTTATACCCGCTCAACTGCCTCCAGTTATTCGCTTGGCAAGACGTAATCAGCCGTACACTGTGCACGAATTTCAGCACAAAGATCGTTAGGATTTTAAAAAAATGCCCTAAGAGTTGAGAATTTTCTCTATAAGAATCTCAGATACAGGGGAGCCTATCACATGGCCCGATTTTATGGAAATAGAGGATAAAAAAGTGCCGCTAACATGATTTTACAAAACTAGTC